TGACAGTTTAAAAAAAAAAACCCAGAGATTTAAAGGTAGTGGCATCAAATCTTTCCTTTATTTTTTTTAATTTTTAAAATTTATTGTAATTTATTTTTTTTCAAATCTTTCCTTTAGTATTAGTGTTGGCTTTCCCTCTTTGAGGAGAGTGAAGATTATAGAAAACACACCACTCCCTTATGACATCTGCGTGAAACAGCATTTAAAACCCAAGCCCCTAACACTCCAGTTTGGGCTTACCTTCCTTTGGGAGGCTGTGAGCAAGGCAACCCCCTCGGCTGGAATCTTCACTCTCCATTTAACTCACACAGATGGACAGAATCTGTATTCGTGTGTTTTGCAACATGAACTTTCCTCTCAATCCACGAAGGGGTTGCCTGGACACAGATGGTTCCCTGTCATGTGGGCTTTTTGATATCATATTATATAGTACTCTGCAAGCGTTCGAGGAATCACATTTCAACTCCAGCTCTGCCAATGACTTATAGACCCCTCTCACCCCACATCATATACCTTAGAATGACTAGTTGCCTCATCTGTCTGTCATAAGGAAAGAGAAGCTACTTAAGAAATGTCAACACCATCATCAACATGGAGGCAGCATAGTACATTGGAAAGAGTGTTGGCTAGGACTGGTTTCAAGAACTGCCTCTGATGCAGTATTCTGTGGGTCTCTGGGCAAGGTACCTAAATTCCCTGGACTTTAGCTTCCTCATATGTAAAATGAGGGAATTGGATTGTATAGCCTCCAAAGCCCTTCTGGGTCTAAAGCATCATGGTGTCAGCAAGGGGATGGAAGTGAGGGAACATTTAGGACAAAAAGTCTCCACAAAATTGCTTCCTTTCCTTCCCAGCATTAAAAAGTTGGGCTCCTAAACCTCACCAGAACCTATAAATATTCCCTTCTTTTCTAATTCTGATGTTTTGAGTATAGATGGGTATTTAGCAACCTTCTTTTAGTTCTACTTATAGTCATCAGAGGTCAAGGAGCAACAGCAAAATTAATACTTATAAATTGTACACTAAACACTCCATTTGTGCATTCATCTGTTCAATAGAATATGAACTCCTGGAGGGCAGGGACTGATTTTTTTTCCCCTGTAGCCCTACAGTCTAACACAGTCACTTGTACATAGTAGGTATTTAACAAACATTTGTTGAATTGACTTTATTGAATTCAACAACATTTAAATGCCTACTATGTGTAACCCACTGGATACCAAGGTAAATAAGACATGTTACTTGCCCCCAAATGCTATTTAGAGAGAAGCCATACCATGGAGTAGTGGATTGTGCAGGACAGAGAGTCAAGAAGACCCGACAACTGCCAACAACCGCTCCGGACCTCAGTTTCCTCAACTGTAAAAATGAAGCAGGGAGGAGAACTTGATGTCTTCTAAGATCCCCTCTATCTCTAAATCTATGATACTATTTGCACAAAGACACAGTGAGAGGAGTCACTTAGTTTTGTCCGGTACACACACACAACAGAATTCCTTATACAGCAACCCCAGGTAATAGTAGTACCTGGTGGGGCCTCCACCTTCCCTTCCATGCACTTTTCAGACTTCCAGGTAACATGAGAAATAAACAGGAGGTGAGTGTTGACATACTTCAAGATTCCTTCTCTTGAGGCTTGTTTACAAGTTCTCCAAGATAAAGTGAAATTTACCTTCTAGATTGAATAACATCCAAAAGAAACTTGTCTTGACTGTTGGCTGTTTGTTGACTAATATTCACAAGCTCTGGCCTTTATCAGAGGCTTTTAATGCTCACATTTCTTTGGAATTCTGGTTTGCTTTCAGAGCACTTCCCTGGTTCCCATCTCCTGGCCATGGGATAGCTCTGGGGTCCATTAATTATGTTTGTCTCCCTGAAGCTCTAATTCCCCAGAATGAAGAGTCAGAATATGTATTTATCTATATCACCAGAATAAACCTTGGAAGGCCCTTTCACATAAATTTTTACTCTGTCTAGTTTCTGGGGTTTGAAAGATTGTTTGCTATCTTCTGCTAAATCCCATTGACGTAGTTAAAGCCCAGCCAGTGCAGGTGACATTTCCCTCTTGCTGTAAATACACAGAGTTTTGTTTTCTGTAAATATCTTGAAGAAAGCGAGCACATGTTATTTTAAAGCCTGGTTTTCAAATAATGTTTAGTCAAGCATAGGTTATCATCAATTGGTCTGAACGAATAAAACAAATAATTCACTTTATCCAGTCAGGTTTGGATGGAGGGCTTAATGGTTCCAGTGACTCAACACTGTTTCCTAATGTAACCAAAAAGGGAGAGTCCCTTGGCCAGCAAACTTGAACTCTAGTAGTATGTATTTCCTTCACGGATGTCCATCTGTTAAGTTACTTGCATGGGAACTCAATGTCTTTGCTCAGTGCGTGTAAGCAAAGGAGCCCTGCTGGGTATTTTGAATGGAGGCAGAGGAAGGGAGGTCTTGGACTGTTGATGTAATGTATATAAATTTTTTTATAGTCCTCTAACTATGGGGCATGTGATATTTGGCAGGAGTGGGAAGAATTATGTTAATGGAGCCCAGATATGACTGGTGGCAGTTCTTTCTTGGAAGACATGCAGAGATTGGGGGAAAAAGGCAGGAAGTCAGGCATGAAACAAGCTGAAGGGAGCACATATTTGTGCGGCCTCCACATATTATAATGATTGCACTGTGATTCTAAAGCACAGAAATGGGACATGTATTTTGCTCTCTAACAGGTATATTACCCTGGCATTATCCTGGATTCCTCATTCTTCCTGACCCCACTTAATGTAATCTGTTGCCACATCTTGCCATTTGTACTTTCAAAATGTTTCTTGTGTCCGACACACACATAGCTATCAGGTTTTCATCACCTCTAACTCAAATTATTGCAGCATCCTCCTTTAATCCATGTCTCAAGTCTCTCCTCACTTCAGTCTATCCTATAACAATACTGCCAAAGTAATTTTCTTTAGGCACAGGTCTGATTATATTGTAACCCTAAATGATCAACCCCGGTGGCTTCTTATTACCTCTAAGATAAATTATAAACTCTTCTGTTTAGTTTTTAAAGCCCTAAATAACCTAACTCCAGCCTATCCTTCCAGCCTCATTGATGTTACTCTTCCTACTGGACTATGCAATTTGACCAAACTGGCTTTCTCTCTGTTCCTCGCTCCTGACATTTCATTTGCCGTGGCCTTTGCTGAGTGGCATCCCCTTGCCCTCTTCTGAAGAGGCCAGTGTGACTAACCATTTGGCTCAAATTCAGCTTCAGTGTCACAGGGGAGCTGGGAAATAAAAATGAACTCACAGGATTTAAGGATTCCTGATACATTGCTATCAAGAGAGCTTGGTAATCAAAATGGGAATGTAGCCAGCAGCAGAGGGCAGCAGCTGCAGCTAACTGTTATGATAATGTATTGGAATCCTTTAACATTTTTCCTCATGGCAACACTGTCAGGTAGCTAGTTTAAGCATCAGTTCCATTTTTGCAGATGAGACAAGAGTAGTTAAGTGATTTGGCCAAGGTCATCAAACATCTCATAAAGGTCAGAGCCAGGATTTCAAGGCAGATTTACCTCCTTCCTCTAAGGTCTTTTTGTTCCTGTACCTTGCCTCTAACTTCTTGCTTGAAAAGGATGGGAAATTGAGAAAGAGAGAAGGGAACTTGATGATTTAATGTTTTAATTTTTATTTGCCCTATGTAGGAAGGATAAGGCAGCTAGGTGGTCAGTGGATAGAGTGCTGAGCCTAGGGTCAGGAATACCTGAGTTCAAATCCAACCTCAAACACTTACTAGCTGTGTGACCCTGGGCAAGTCACTTAGCCTTGTTTAACTCAGTTTCCTCACTTGTGAAATGAACTGGAAAAGGAAATAAGTATCTTTGCCAAGAAAACCCCAAATGAGGTCCCAAAGAGTTGGACATAACCAAAACAACTGGACGATAAATGTAGGAAGGATACTCAATGGTATATTGTTTTGGGGTACACTAGTACACTATGCCTTCTAAAAAAATCGTTAGGACCTGTGGTTTCATGGGTGTAAGGAACTCCAGCCATGGAAAACTCCTTCTACTGATCCAAATTAATAGCTCTTCTGTGACTTCTGGTGTTAGAGAGCTGCCTAGGGCACTGAGAGGTTAAGTGATTTGCCCATTGTGACATAGCTAGTGTGTCTGAGGTGGTCCTTTAATTCAAGTCTTATTAACTTAGTAACAGTTCCTTAAGGAGTCCAGCCAGTCTACTTCTCAAAAATACTTTTTGGACTGGACATGTCATCTCCTTGGTAATATCCAATAAGGAGACTCCCTCTACCAATGCAGGTTGGCACCTTCTCTAACACCTAGAGTCTTACATAATAGGTTGGGACCCTGAGAGTGACTTGCTCAGGGCCACACAGCCAGCGTACGTCACATGCTTAAGCAGGCAATCCAAATACTTTCGCAGCTAAAATTAGACTTGTGATGTACCATGGCTATTCCTGGTGTGAGAGAGTGATTGTTCATGAGCTGTTCGGTTTTGATTATTTGTTAGACATTTTTCTCCTAATAAACAATTAGAAAAATTACATTCATAAGGCCATGGCATAGCAATCACAATGAAGAAACTGAAGCAAAATATGTAAAACCTGTATCAGATAGCTTACTGTCTCAAGAACGGAGGACAGGTAGGAGGGAGGGAAAGAGAATTTAGAATTCAAAACTTCATAAAAAAAGAATGTTAAAAATTGTTTTTGCATGTAATTGGGGGAAATATTATATGCATATATACATACACATATATACATATGTATATACATGAACATATAACGAAACTGAAACAAACTGCAAACTGTAAGATCTTTAAATAATTCAGTGACCTTGCTAGTGTTCAGCAAACAGCCTAAACTGTTCTGTGTCCAAGTATTTTTCTCCTTTTTTTTTTTTAAGGGCTAGATGTCCCTAGATGGAAATTTGAATCATGTGTCTCTGACATTTATATTCAACTCCCCAAAATACTATTTTGTGAGAACTGTCAAATAATCTTTAGGAAACTTTCCATGTACCTCATTTTCTGAGAAACAGACGTTTGTTTTGCCAAAGAGCACAGGGACACAAATATCAGCTGGTACCAGCTTGAAACTCCCAATCCTTATGGCGTTTATCTGCCCACTTCCATGTGACTTCAGGCCTTGGCTTGCGGTCCTCATCTTTTCTTCCAGTCTCTACCATAGTCACTGAGAGGAAGAATGGAATAGCACTTAATACTTAAAGCTGAGTCAGAAAACCTGGGTTCACATGTCATCTCTGCTGTACCTCAAAAAATAAAATTATTTTTTAAAAAGATCTAATGGTAAATTGCCATAATGGGGCTCCCTGACTGATGATATCTTTTATTCCTAACTTAGATGATTCATAGCAGGAACACTCATCAGCATCTGGAAGGTGGGATCAGGACAGCGGTGAATTCGGCATGCCATGAAGCTACAGTTGATATCATCACAGGTTGATTCTTTGAACCTCCCTGGGCTTTCTCATTGGTAAAAGGAAGAGAAAATCATACAGGAGGAGGAGGTTGCCTTACTTTCTACAACACAGATCTTGTTATCTTTCCTTTCAAACCTATTCCTCTTCTGAACCTTAATTTTTTTTTCAAGGGAACCACCATTTTTCTAGTCACCCAAGTTTGAAATCTCAGGGTCATCCATGGTCATCCACTCTTACTCAGCCCACATGTCCCATATTTGATTAGTTGCCAAACTTTGTGATTTCTGTCTCCACACCATCTCATTATCCATCCCTTCCTCTCCACTCACACAACCACCATCCTAATTAAAGCTCTCAACATCTCTCGTCTGAACTATTTCAGTTGCTTCCTATTCGAGTCTCTTTCCACTCCAATCTGTACTGTACAAAGGAAGGAAGGTGAAAAGAAGGGAGCGAAGGAGGAAGAGAGGAAAGGAAGGAAAAAAGGAAGAGAGCAAAGAAAATTTATTAAGCACCTGTTATGTGCAAGATACTATGTGAAGTGCTTTGCAAATATTTCATTTGATCCTCACAACAACCACCTTATGAGATAAGTGTTACAGTTGAGGGAATTGAGGTAGGCAGATATGAAGTGAGCTGCCCAGGGTCATAGAGGCCAGATTCGAACTCAGTTCTTCCTGATTCCAGGCCTAGCACTATTAGCTGTCATAATAATTTTCTTAAAGTGAAGATCTGACCATATCACTTCCTTCTCTACTCAGTAAACTCTAGTGATTCTAAGATCAAATATAATTTCTTCTGTTTAACATTTAAAAACTTTCTTAATATGAATGTATATGTAGAGCCCGTATCAATTCACATGCCATGTAGGGGTGGAGGGAGGGGAGAGATGGTGAGAAATTTTGGAACTCAAACATCTTATAGAAGTGAATAAAGAAAACTAAAAATAAATAAATAAGTTTATTAATTAAAAAAACCATTTAGAACCTTTCACAACCTGGTTCCCCCCTCCCCCCCATCTTTCCAGTCTTCTTCCATGTTATTTCCCTACACTCACTCTATGATCTAACCATTCTGGCCTCCTTGCTGTTTCTCACACATCCCATCCCATCTTCCATCTCCATACTGGCCATCTGTCATTCCTGGAATGGTCTCTCTCTTCTCACCCACTGACTCTGAGGATCCCTCGCTTTCTTTAAGACTCAGCTGAAAGTCTATATGCTGCAGGTTCTCCAAACTTCTAGTGCCTTCTTTATTAAAGTTACCTCATAGTTCTCTAAAAATATCTGGTATGTATCTATGTGTGTACATATGGTCTCCCTCCTTAGAGGGTAAACTTCTTGAAGGCAGGAATTTTTAAATGCTTGGTTTCTTGATTAATTGATTTAGATTACATCTCCCAGAAGCCTGTGAAAGAGTTCAGTGTGGACTCATTAGGCAAGCATACTTCTAGCAGAGATAATTTTAAGAATGAAAATTAATTTTGCAAAATATGATGAGACATGGGGGTTGTTTTAATTGAGAGTCATGGGTGCAACTGAGGTAGATAGCAGAGATGAAGAAATATCAACCACGTCCAGATGCTCCCGAGAGTATTTTGTAAACTATAGAGGCAAACTAACAAAGGGAATGCAATAATGGGATTGGTAAAGATGTGGAAAGTGAATTAACTTGGTTGGATAAGGAATCACTTTGTCTGATCCTCCATTTCTTAATCTGGAGTTATTTACTTAGAGCTTGGTCAGACATCGAAGATGCCAAGGCCATCCACTGCTTCCTGGGCCATCGCCAGTTATCTTGACCTTTGTCTTGCTGCTGGACTTTGATAAACCTGGGAGAGTGAGGCCGATGACTTTGTGCAACTCTGCCTCACTTAAATCTAAGTCAGATGCTAGTCAAGACTTCACCCTGATGAGGAACCTTTCTGGAGCTAGTGAAACCACAGTAAGTGGTTTATCTCTCCTTTGCCTCTTCATGCAACCAATCCAGATCTGTAAGGGGTCATTATCAAGAAAATTGGAAGATGAAAAGTAGAGTCATAGTGTTAGAAGAGGACTCATGTATTCTAGTCCAGTAAGGAGTGCATCTACAAGTGGTCAAACTTGGCTTGAACACTTGGAGTGGCAGGGAGCTCATTCTTTTGATAAGAGATACTAATTTCCTTTTTTTTTTTTTTAAATAGCTCATATACTCTGTGACTGCAGGGGGAATGTCTGCACTATAGTGAAGAACTACAACCTGACAAAATACCTTTGTTTATTCTCATATTGCTTATTGTGACAGGCTCATTTCTTCTGGAAGAACTGATTTTGGGAATAGTATCTAATGATTGAGAAAAGAAAAGGAAATCATATAAATCCCACAGGCAGTTCAATATTGGAGACTCAAAACATTAAAAAATATTCTCAGTAATAGATATGATAGATATTATATATAATAACTATATTTATATATGATAAATAAATGTAATAGATATTATAGATTGCATTTTTTAGGTCAAGTTCAACACCCTTCAAAGAGGCATTATTACTAAATCTTGTCTTTGTATCATCAGAACCTAGCAAAGTTCCTGCCACATAAGAATAATAAGCTAGCATTTATAGGACCCTTTAAGACTTGCAAAGAACTTTATAAATGTTATCTCACTTAATCCTCACCAGAACCCTACGTTGAGGGTGCTATTATTTTCTCCACTTTTCAGATGAGGAAACAGGTAGACAGAAGTTAAGTGACTTGTTTAGGGTTACACAGCAGCAAATGACTGAAGCCAAGTTTGAACTCAGGTCTCCCTAACTCCAAGTCCAGTACTCTGCCCCCTATACCACATAGCTGCCTAAAAGCTGGTGTTTAATAACCGCTTGTTGAGTGATTGATTGATTGAGGCAGCTAGGCGGTGCAGTAAATAAAGCACTGGACCTGAAATAAGGAAGATCTGAATTCAAATTCTGCCTCTGACATTTACTACCTGTATGAGCCTGGTCAAGTCATTTAATCTCTTTCAACCTTGGTTCCCTTATCTTCTAGTTGTTGTGGGTTATCCTGAGGATGAAATGAGATGATCTTTTTAAATCAGTTTTAAAACTTAAAAGTGGCATATAAACATTGATTACAACAACAACAATAATTGTCATTATTAATTCTCATTATCCTCTCTATGATAGAGAAAAAAAAAACTTGGGGAGAAAGAGCTCTGATAGAACCAGCCTTTTCCCATTCAGACACCAAAACACAATGCTAAAGATGCATCCTCCAGTAATATAGGTCTTGTAGGCATTATCATTACAAATTTGGAGGTTGAAAGGTCACTGATTATGATGGCTTCATTTATAGAAAAAACAAACAAATAAGAAATGAGGCCCAGAGTTTTAAGTGAATTGCCCAGGCTCACACAGCTAATAAACACCTAAAGTGGAATTCAAACTCAAGTCCTCCTGATTCCAAGCTCGGTGTTCTCTCTGCTGCACTGTGGTATCATTCCCCTGTCTTGAGGCAATTCTTAGAGGGATAGAAAAGGTGTGTGAGAGAAGATTCTCACTTTGATAAGTGGGACACATGAGGAACATAGGCATAAAGAGTCAAAAAGTAAGCCTGTAGCAGGGACAGACTCACAACCCCCAGGAGTACTATGTAGAGACCAGAGTAAACTTATGCAGCCCAGGGATGTGAAGGCAAACGATGGAAAGAATGACAGGTCCCAGCCTAGGGAGGGATTCATTCCAATGCTCCTCTCTTTCCCTGAGCCTCATATTCTAATACTCCTAATTTGAGCCCTCTTAGATGGGGCTTCTACTTTAGTTCTGACCCTGGCAACCTGCCTTGAACTTCCTGTTCATTGGCCAAGCTGAGCCAACAGACACACCCTAGATGTACATTAGGTACTTGGTCCTGCTTTCATTTTCTGGTTTGAACCACTTCCTCATCCCAGGGAATTGCTTATGCTTCTCCCAGGGAAAACAGGTCATTAGAATCCAGGTTTACAATGTGTGTGGGGGGGAACCTTAAAAAGACAGCAGAGACTGATGGAACATTTCTATCCTGTCTCCCCACCACCTGCTTGGTGGGATCTGGTACATAGACACTATGCCTTATCATAGAGAGACCTAAGATCCAGAATTTAGAGCTGCTAGGGGTGTTGGAAGTGATCTAGCCTGTCAGTCATTCAACCAGTCAATAAACATTTCTTAAGCACCTACTATATGCCAGGCACTGTGCTAAACTCTGGGGATACAAAAAGAGGCAAGAGACAGTCCATGTCCTTGAGGATCTCACAATCTAATGCGGGAGACAACAAGTAAGCAAAAATAGAAAACAAGTTACATACAGGACAAATAGGAAGCAATTGAGAGAGGGAAGGCACTAGAATTAGAAGGGTGAGGAAGAGTTTCCTGTAGAAGGTGAGATTTTAACTGGGACTTGAAGGAAGCCAGGGAAGCCGGGAGGCAGAGATGAGGAGAGAGAGCATTCCAAGCACGGAGGATAGCCAGAGAAAATGCCTAGAGCTGAACGATGGAGTATCTTGTTCATAAACAGCCAGGAAGCCAGTGTCACTGGATTGAAGAATATGAGGCTGGGAGAAAAAAGACTGGAAAGATCGGAGGGGGCTGGTTATAAGCCTGACCTTTTTATTGCACAGATGGAGAAATGAGGGCTTGGAGCAAGAAAATGATTTGCCCAAGGTCACGGAGGTAGCAAGTGACAGAGTTAGGATTCAGTCCAGCTCCCCTGACTCTAGATCAAATTCTTTTTCTATATTCTAAGGTATACTTTGGGGGCAGCTAGATAGCACAGTGAATGAAGTGCCGGCCCAGGATTTAGGAAGACCTGAGTTCAAATCTGGCCTCAGACACTTGACACTTACTAGCTGTGTGACCTTGGGCAAGTCACTTTACCCCATTGCCTCACCCCCCCTCCCCAAAAAAAGAGGTATACTTCGAGCAGTGCTAAAAAGGTACCATGAATTAGGTGGTATTGGACTCACCTTACAAATCTGGAATCTTGGGTTAGGGAGGTAAAGCTACTTTTTGAGGGTTACCTGGTAACTAAGCAGATAAAGATTCAAACCTATGCTGTTTTGACTCAGGATCAAGTGTTATTTTCACTATACTGCTATAATTTTGGTGTTCTCTTTTTATGGTTAATAGCCTTCCTTATCTTTTCACTGGGCAATGTTTTTTTTTTCCCCTTCAGATCTCACATAGCACTTTTCTTGCCTCTCTCTTATACATTGACCATATTATTTTGTATTGCAGTTATCTATGTTTATATCTCATGCCCCTGCAAGACTGTAAACTCCATAAGGGGAAGGACTGACTGTTTTACCCATCTCTGCCTTATCTGTGACCTAAACTTTGTGTTTCTCCCAGCACAGTGCTTTGTACTTACTAGATTCTTATTAAATGTTTTTTTTTTAAATTGAAGTGGAATTTACTCTGCCCTTATTTAGAGAAAGTTTAGGGAGAAAGATGACTGATGTTGCAGATTTGAAAATTAAAACAACCAATAAAATGGTAGGTTAAATTTAGACTTCTCAAATTGTCTTTGCTTGAAGACAGTCACATTTTAACTTGAACACACGGCCAACACTAAGCTGTCCAATGAGGTAATCGCAGTCGTATATGCTTTGAAAAGGGCAACTTTGCTAAGTCATTTTCTTTTCTAAAACATAATTGAAGTCGTTCAATTTCACAATATAAAATTACTCATGGGTCTTGTATTAAATCATTGGCCAACAAAGCAGGAAAAAGGTGGAAAGCATCAGTCTTTGTGTTTGGTGTTCCTCTTGAAGAGATGGCAGTGTTTGTACATATTATCCTTACTATAAAACTCTTCTTCAGGCTTTTATTACCTCATTCCTGGATTATTGCTACAGCTGCTTAAACTGGCCTTCCTAACTCTACTTTCTCCTTCCTTGCTCTGAATTGCTCAGTCTGATTAATCTTCCTCAGACATGGCCTTCATCATGTCAGTCTCCTCTTTGAAAACATGCATGTACTCATCAAATATCTCAGTGTCTACCATGTGCAGGGCACCATGCTAGATAATGTATGTGATGAAGTTTCTGACTTTAAAGAGCTTAGTCTAGTTGAGGAATTATGACCTAGAAAAATAACTATAATGTAATCTGAGGGGGTCACTATGATAAGTTTATGGTCTGATGGGGCAGATTTAAAAGTCAAGTTTGTAATAACTGCCTCTGGAAGAACAGTATAATGAAACATCATAACAACAACAATAGTTCCTAATGTTTATATAGTATCTACTATGTAGATACTGCACTAAACACTTTGCAAATAATATGTCATTCAATCCTTACAACAATTCAAGGAGATAGATGCTCTTATTAGCCTCATTTTATAATTAAGGAAACTGAGGGGAGCAGAGGCTAAATGATTTGCCCGAAGTCACACAGCTAAGTGTCTAAGGTTAGATTTTACTTAGGTTTTTCTGACTCCAGGTTCAGTGCTCTAGCCATCGGGACACTTAGCTGTCTAACATTACTACACCCCCAGTTAGAGAGAAGACTCTTTAACAATGGGGGTTGGGGCTGAGATCCTAGCCCTGTACTAGGAAAGGTCATTCTCTTTTGTGTGGCTCCCAAAGCAGTCCTACAACATTATACCATGAACAATGGGACAGAAGGAAATTTAAAGAACAGGGTAAGTTTATGAGAAAAAAAAGGTCAGTCAGATGAAGTCTTTAATAGAATAAAAGAAGAGGATTAGAAATGGGTGCTGGTCCCATCCACTGGAAGTACAGCCAAAGTGGGGAGGATGATAAGGACAGCTTGATCTGCAATGTCTGGTTTTTTGCCCCCTCAATGCTCCAGCCACCTAAGTGTCTGTGATAAAAAACCAAAACAAATCACAGTCTTCTACCTTGCCACGGGTCCCCTTTAGCATCCTCCTGTCTCAGGAAGAGGCATGGGTTTGGGGAGATCACTGCTGATATCACCACTGTTGCTCCTGGGATTGTGTTCCACATATCTGAGGGACAGTCCTACTACCCCGTCCCCTCCATGCATTCTCTGTTTGTTCAGAGTCTCCTTTTAGTTCCATCCAAGTCCAAAACCATGTGATATTTCCCTCCCTCAAGCGGTGAACAGAAAGGCCTCCATAGCCCAATTGTCTCCTCATGCCCAGACAATTCTTACCCCACTCTAGCAGAAGCATGACAATAGTAAAAGGTCATATGTCACATGTATTATTAAAAAGGCATTTTAGAAGTTTCCATGAAAATGCCATCACTGCAGCCTGGGGTGATCAAGGAAACCTTCATGGAGGAGGGGTTATTTGACCTGGGCCCTTGAATAATGATTAAATTTTGACCAAAAGCAGGTGGCAAGGAAATGAGTAGAGTATTGTAGTCAGAGGGAATGTCAAGAGCAAAACCAGAGCCAGGAAGGTACAAGGTGGATGTGAGGAATAGAAAGCAAACTATTTCTCCACATTGCCTACAGGACAATGTTCAGACATCTTAGCATGGCATTTGAGGCCCTCCGTAACCTGGTTCTGACATGCTTTTCAAATCTTAATTTCCTATAGTTCCTCAATATGAATCTTCTATTCACTATTCTGTTCGTGATATTTCTCCCTCTCTCTTGCTACATTCCTATCACCAAGAATATCTTCTCCTCCTCCTCCTCCTCCAGTTTTACCTGTACTTCAAGATGCAGGCCAAATCCCACTTCATCCGTAAAGGCTTCCTGATCATTTATGCTTGCAGAATCTCTCTTCTGAAATATGATAGTATTTATTATTTCTGTTTCATTCATTTGACATGCAATGTATATATAGTTTTGTGCTGCCATCCAATTTTTTCTATAGGTATGTTATCTTCCTAGCTAGGTTATAAGTTCCCAAAGACTGTAGATAATATTTTATACTTCTTTTTTTTCTTACGATCTCCAGAATTCATTTATTCTTTCCCCCCTAAATTTTTAGAAATATTTTATTAATTTATTTTGATTTATCAGCAATCACTTCCATATGTTTTTGAGTTTAAAATTTTTCTTCCCCTTCCTCCCCACCACCCTCCCCAAGACGGCACACAATCTAATATAGGCTATACATTTACATTCCTATTAAACATATTTTCACATTAGTGAAGTTGTGAGTAAAAATTAAAACCAATGGGAGGACCCATTAGAAAGAGGAACCAAAACTCAACAGAAGAGAGAAAAAAATGATAGTGATTCAACTTCCATAGTTCTTTCTTTGGATGTGGATAGCATTTTCCATCACGAGGCCTCTGGAGGTGTCTTAGATCCTTATATTGCTGAGAAGGGTGGAGTTTATCAACATTAGTCATCACACAATGTGGCTGTTATTGTGTATAACGTTCTCTTGGCTCTGCTCACTTCACTCAGCATCAGACCATACAAGTCTTTCCAGGTTTTTCTGAAGTCAGCCTGTTCATCATTTCTTATAGCACAGCAGTATTTCATTACATTCATATACCACAACTTGCTCAGCCATTCCCCAATTGATGGGCATCCTCTCAATTTCCAATTCTTTGCCACCACAAAAAGAGCTGCTATAAATATTTTTGAAGATGTGGGTCCTTTTCCCATTTGTGTGATCTCTTTGCCCCCCCCCCAATTTTTTTAAAGAGCTTATTATATGCGAAGCAGAATGCTAGACATCGACAGATATGATACAGACCATTCTCTCAAGGAGCTTCCATAGTCATGGGGTGTGTGTAGGGGGAAGGCATGTATACAAGTAAGCATGATAGAAAGGAGAGTGAGATAAGTGCAAAAGAGAATTTCAAGCAAGTGAGGGTGGAGAAATTGATTTTCACTTGCACTGGCAAGATAGAGCCAGTATTAGAGAAGTCTTCCTGGAATAGAAAAGGTTGCGCCTGAGCTGGGCCATGAAAGAAGAGAAGAACTTTGTGGGGAGTTCATTTTAAGGGTAGAATACAACATGATCAAGATGTGAGAAGGCAAGGCTAGAGTGGGGTTTGGAAGAGAGTAGTACAATTTGACTAGACATAGAGTATGTGAAGGGGTACAGTATGAGATAATTCTAGGAGTTTCGGCAAGAAGGCCAAGTAGGTGATTGTGACTATGTCAAGTTCCTTTTCCTCATTTCAAAACAGAAACAAATGTGTGAAATAAAGTAAAGAAAATAATAATCAAAAAATAAGAAAGAAGAGAAATTCTACCAGGAAAAATGAATATGCAGAAAGATGAAAAAAAGATTGAAGATATAAGAAAAAAGGAAAATGAATATCTAATACACTGAATGAATATTGAAGGTATAAAACAAAGCTAAAATGTATCTTCAGAAGGAATGAACAATAACAAGGAGCTAGGAAGAATGTGCCACAAGAGCCTTCAAAATGGCTAATAAACTCAACAAGAGAAATAAGGCAAAATCTGGACCCTATGAAATGGAAATCTGTTCTGAAAGAACAGAAATAGAGATTTAAAAACTTGGAATAGTTTGTTAAAAGCCTCAATGAATTTGAATATTTTATGAACAATCGAGTAGCCCAGGTAGGAGACAAATATGTAGAGGTGATAGAACAAATAACAAAATATGATTTTTTAAAAATGGCACTATAAGTGGAAGAAGGTCCTTATAAACAAACGAGGGCAAGAGGACAGAATTCTATAGGACAACCTGAGAATTACTGATCTCAAAATACAAAGAAACAAAGAATATGAACACAAAAACATTCTAGAAGTATTAAAAATGGAGGGCAAAGTGCAACTAGTTAGAGTGTATGTGATGTTGTAAGAGAAGAACACTAAATTTAACTTACATAGAGATGTACTCATCAAACTCAAATGCTTCAGAAACAAAGAGAGAACCTTTTAAGCAATACAGGAAGAAAAACCACATATTAAAAAGCTCTAATCTGGAGGAGACAAGATTTCCTATTGAAAAAGAGAAATAAATGGAAAGTCTAAAATGACAGGTAGCAACAAACAAGCAAAAACCCCCCAACAAAACAAGAGAAAATGGTCCTCATCTTCAAATCGATTATGCTGACTGTACAACTGAGAATATTTTTTCATGACAAAAGAAGGATTTTGAAATGATAATAACTTTTATTTATATAGCACTTACTATGTGTCAAACACTGTACTAAACACTTCCAAGTATTACCTCATTTGATCTTTACAACCCTGGGAGGTAGGTGTTATTATTACCCTTCTTTTTACAGGTGAGGAAACTGAGGTAAACAGAGATTAAATGATTTACCCTGGGTCCCAGAGGTCAGATTTGTATCCCCAGCACTTTACACAGTGTCTGGCACTTAGCAAGTGCTTAATAACCTGACCCTCTCCTAACTTTCCAGTCTCCTTCTACTTTACTTCCCTCTACAATATTCTATGATCCAGTAACATAGGCTTTCTTGCTGTTCCTGGCACGGGGCATACCCTTTCCCAACTCAGCAGCTTTCCACTGGCTGTTTTCCATTCCTGGAATGATCTCCTTCCTTATCTCTTATTTCTGGCCTCCTTTAAGACAGTTTTCAAATGCCACCCCAGAAGATTTCTAGGTGCCCCTTCCCATTGCCCCCCCCCCAAAAACAACCCAAAAAACCAATCCAAGGTTCTTTCTCTCTGAGCTTGCCTTCCATTTACACTGTACGTATCTTGTATGTACATAGCAGTTTCCATGCTGTTTTTGCCCATTAGAATGTGGCCTCTTTGAGGGCAGAAACAATGTTTTTTTTCTTGTCTTGCCAAGTATTTGGCATCCATTAAGTACCTGATAATGCTTATTGACTGAAAGGCTATATCAATATGTACTATATATATATATATATATCAAATTTCTGAATGATTCAGGCTCTTCTCGGTAGTCTTGGCAATGTTCTAAGTCTTTTTGTAATCAGCACAATGTTATCTGCAAACAAGGCTACCTCTACCTCATGATTATAAAATAAAATCCAAATTTTTGCTATCCACAAGATAGTTAGGCAATATCTATCTGGCCCATAGCCGCCAAAGAGTTTTAGGAGAATTTTCTAGTCATAAATTTCAAAGTAAGATCCTGAGAGCAGGAAGTCTTTCCTTTATGTATTTGTATCCCAAGTGTTTGGCATGGTGTACAGTGCAGGCATTAATGAATGCTTATTGATTGATTGATTAAAGTAGAAAAGACACTCATGAAAAAGACAGATAAGAGCAGTGGGAGTAAACCAAGAATTCACAGGGAAGGCGCATGTTAGAAGTGACATTCAGACGGCTTGAGAGATCAGTTACTTAAGGTACCAGCAGTACCAGAGGCTAGGAGAAAATCTCAAATTTTATTGTTATCAACAAAAGGAATGAGAAAAGTACAGTTTTTCTGCAAATCACATCTTTTAGCAGAACACATCTTTCCTTTGACTGAAAAGTACACAGAATACAAGTTAAGGCATAAAACAGGGAGACATACTTACCAAATGTATGTGCCCTTTGATAGAAGATGTCCAGTGCAGAATCCAAATGGAAGAAGGCCATCTTTGATATCAATTGTGATCTTTTTTTTTCTAATGCATTGGTGATCCGGCTCCATTCAGACACCTGGTTCTAAAATGACTCCTAAATCAGTAACCCATCATGAGATATAGGTGTGATGTTTCTGTATCATCTACAAACCTCCCACATCTCTCATTTCATTTTGAATTTAAGTTTTTTGAGGGCTGTAGCTGTTTCATTTTCTCATTTTTATACTGTTAGCACCCAACACAGTCTCATACCATAGTAGGTACTTAATCAATATTTCTTGAATTGTTGAATTGAATTCGCTCTTAGACCCAAACTATGTTTTCCAATGTATTTTTCACTATTTTTTCTATATATCTATCCTTAAATTGAAGTCATCAAGTATTAAAACATCTCTTCTTGGTGATCTCCTCTTCCACCTCCTTATACCTCCAACTGTACTTGTAGCATGGGTCTTCTAGGGAATGACTACCCTAGGTTTAAGATATTCTGTCATTTTGTTTTCCTAAAATTATACCTCATGAGTACCAAACAGTACATTTGTCTTTATTCTAGTCAAACAGAAGACACAATTAGCTCAAGGTAAAGACATTTACTGAAGTAGCAAAGCACCTCCATGGACCCGAGGCACATTTTCTCACCAATCTGCCTGAAATCAGTGGAATAGAGATCATATGGACAGAGGGGCACACATGTAGGGAATACACGTAGTTAATGTAATTTGTACCTCTGGCTTTGTAAGGTCTTTTGGTTTCTTCATTCTGTTCCTCCTAGAAAGGGCAGCTAGGTGACCCGGCGGATAGAGTACCAGGCCCGGGGTCAAGAAGACTTCTTGAATTCAAATCTGGCCTCAGACACTCACTAGCTGTGTGATCCTGGGTAAGTCACTTAATCCTGTTTGCCTCAGTTTTCTCATCTATAAGATGAGCTGGAAACAGAAATGGTTAACTACTCCAGTATCTCCACCAAAAACCCCTCAAAAGGGTCAAAAAGAGTCGGACATGGCTGAAATGACTGAACAACAGAAAAATGTACCATGTCTTGTTATCCTTTTAACTCTTACTGGTATGTTGAGGCTATTCTTTCCCACAGCTCAGAGTTCTTTAGTTGCTCCATGGCCAACGGGGAAGGAGGAAAGAATGGAGGAGAAACCCCCTACTGATTGCAGTACTCTTGAAGAGGTGCAAGAGGAAAAATGAACAATCATTCTCTCCTTTCCCCTCTCCTCCCTGCTTTCTCCTCTCCCCCTCCTTCTCCCTTTTCCTTTCCCCTCTTCCCCCTCTGCCTTCTCTCTTCCCAGACTCCCTTAGAGATTCCCTTAGAATGTATAAAGAACTAGCTGGCTGGCTGATCCTTCATATAGACAATGTCTAGCTGTCCTATAATCCCACATAATGGATGGAGGGATTTCAGAAGCAAATGAGCAATGAATTATACACACTATATTGTATCTCCTTTACAACTCTTGAATAGACCACTCCCAGTTTCATGACCTTTACAGTCTGTGAATAAATAGGCCACAAAGGGTGTGAGTCAGGAAAGATTTCGTGCCTTTTATAAGTTGTAATGTAACCACTTAAATTTTGAAAGGGGTAAAACCCCTAAAACTTCATTGACTCAATAGATCTAATGTCCCTAATCACTCTTTGCTCACTATAAAAGTATATGTTGATTTAACTTGGAGGGTCTTATAGAGTTCTTTGAAGATTTTTTTTAAACCTCTTCATCTTCTGTAGCAGATCTTGGCATAGAAACCATAGTTATTTTCATGGTGGTCTTGTAAAATTTTATCCTAAATGCTGCAATATGAGATGATAAAATATTCCTTAAAATGATACCTTGTTGACCTTGGGTGTATCAGATAACCAACTCCAATAACTTCATTAGTTATATCTCCAAGAAGAGTCTGTGATGCATGCTTCCATTTAGCTATAACTTTCTTTTGTCTTCTAGTTTCATTTTTTAGTGAGAATGTCGATTTCTGTATTATGACTACTCTTGTTCAGTCATTTCTCAGCTATATCTGACTCTTTGTGACCCCTTTTGGGGTTTTTTCTTGGCAAAGATACTAGAGTGGTTTGCCATTTCTTTCTCCAGCTCATTTTATAGATGAGGAAACTGAGGCAAACAGGGTTAAGTGACTTGTCCAGGGTCATATAGCTAGTAAGTGTCTGAGGTCAGATTTGAACTCAGCTTTTTCTGACTCCAACCCTGGCCCTCTATCCACTATACCACCTAGCTGTGCCACACCCTCCCCCCCATAAAAAAGCTTACATTCTGCTAAGTGTGTATGTGCGGTGCTGAGGGAGTAGGAGGAAGCAAATACACAATACATACCCACATAAGCACATACAAAGGCTCTACAAAGGGAAAGACTAATTTCAAAGAAGTGAGCTCTAACAACCAGAGAGTCGGGAAGATTCAAGAACAGCTTCTTGGGGGCAGCTAGGTGGTGAAGTGGGTAGAGGTCTGGCCTTGGAGTCAGGAGGGCCTGAGTTCAAATTCGGTCTCAGACACATGACACTTTCTCACATCAAGACAATCAACAAAGCAAATGAATGAGTTCCTAATACCCTAGCATTTGCAAATTTCTGAGATGTAAATGCTCACACTGAAAATTTGACAATTGGCTTTCTGCTGATATAGAATGTTGAATATACTTCTGCTGTGGCTAAGTAAATATCTCCTTTTGTTAACTGTGGAATGAATTCTAAGTATTTCATTTTGCTTCAAGATTGAATTTAAACTATTATGGCATTTGCTTGAGTCAGGCCCAGCCCAGAAAGTCCTAAAGCAGGGGTGTGGAACCTGCGGCCTTGAGGCCACATGTGGCCCTCTAGGTCCTCAAGTGTGGCCCTTTGGACTGAGTCCAAGTTTACAGAACAAATCCTTTTATTAAGGGGATTTGTTCTGTGAAGTCTGGATTCAGTCAAGGGCCACACTTGAGGACCTAGAGGGCCACATGTGGCCTGGAGGCCCTAGGTTCCCCACCCCTGTACTAAAGTAAAATAGTGATTCTGTGAGTAAAGAATAAGGGACATATGGGAGAGATGTTGTGGAGGTAGAACAGATGAGACTTAGCAACTACTTGGATTATGGAGGGGGGGGGAAGAGTTAAGCATAACTTTGAGATTGTGAACTTGAGTTAGTAAAAGGATGGTAACACCCTCAAAAGAAGTAGGGATGGTCCAAGGACAGGAAGATTTAAGAAGAAATAGAATTGATTCCCTTTCAGACATGCTCAATTTAAAATGCCCAGAGGAAATCCAGGCGAAGATATCCAGCAGCCAGGTGGTAATACATGATTGGAGTTCAGCAAAGAGAATAGGACTGAATGTATAGATTTAAGGTTCACAGCGGAAGGTTCAAATAGGGGGAGAGGAGAGGGAGGGGACAGAGAGGAGAGGGAGACAGAGACAGAGAGAGAGAGGGAGAGAGGACAAATCTTATAGTGCTATATTTGGAATCAGGTGTTAGTCAAAAAAGCATTTATGAAACACCTGCTATGTGTCTCACTGTGCTAAATGCTGAGGATACAAAAAAAAAAAAGGAAGAAACAGACTCTGTTCTCAAGGAGATCTCAGTGTGATGGGAGAGACAAGACATATAGAGAATAAATTGGAGATGATCCCAGAAAGAAGGCACTAAGATTAAGAAGGACTGGGAAAGGCTTCTTGTAGAAGGTGGAATTTTAGCTAGAACTTAAAGCTGAAGAGGCCAATAGACATAGATGAGGAGAGAGAGAATTCCAGGCATAAGGGCAGCCAAGTAAAATGCTTGGAGTTGGAAGATGAAGTGTTGTGTGAGGAGACAACGGTCATTTATTGCAGCATTAAGGGGATAAAGGTATAGGAATACTAGAAAGGTAAAATGAATTCCAATCTTACCTTAGACACTTACTAGCTTAAGGGGCATGGGCAAGTTATTTCATCTCTATTAGCCTCAGTTTCCTTATTTGTAAAATGGAGATAATAACAGCACCTACCTTATAAGGTTGTTGTGAAGGTCAACGGAGATAGATAACTTGTGTACAACACGTTGCAAGCTTTAAATCACTGTATAGATAAATGCTAGCTAATTTCTCTTCCCATTTTCATTTTTGACCAGGGCCTATGCATTCCAGATCGGAAACGAAAGGAGACAAGAAGAAGCATCCTGGAGTGGGAAGAGGTACCGTAACATCCTGGTAAATAGGGCACTTTAAAAGATAGACCAGAACATGTGGCTGGGGGCTGCTGCTGTCAGAGGCCCAGAGATAGAGGGAGTCATGCAGGTCTACAAAGAATTGTACCAGGCATTACTACTGCCACTCAGTGCACCATCAGGGGCTCCAGTAAATAGGGCACTGGACTTGGGGGAAGAAGCACGGGTTTTAATCCTGCTTCAGATACTTACTAGCTAGTTAAGTGAGAAAGTCACTTAACTTGTTTGTGCCTCAGTTTCCTCCTCTGTAAAATGAAGGATTGGCACTTAGTGGCCTCTAAGGTCCCGTCTTGCTCTACATCTATCATCTATGAATGATAGTAAATTTCCCAGTTCCTTCTAAGGTGTCAGAGATACAATTGCCCAATAGGCTGGGGGAGGAACAAGACATACCTTCAGAGAAGGTGTAGATATCCTTGGGTTACTTTCTTTTATCAGCCATGATGACATCTTTATTTGGCTGCCAAACTGTGGATAGATGAAAGATGCAATTCCAACTCCTCAGGTCTCAGAGTTGTAAGAATGGCTGTCATAGCTATAGAGGTTTGCGGGGTGGTATGCCCTTCCCTCCAGTCTCCTGGTCCTATCGACTCATGGTCTTGTAAGCAAGCCTCTGGGGGGGTTTGTTCTGCCTTCTGTTTGTATCTTCTTTCCTTTAGTACAGACTTTGTGAGAATTAAACCAGCAGCTGGCATCTATCTCCAGTTCTGCCCTCCTTCTGGGCCATATTGGCTATGGGAGCAGTTGGAGCAACAGCAGTAGAGGCAGTGGAAGATTGGTCAAGGAGGGAAGGAATTGCCCTCAGAGGGAGAATCCACCATAAGAAAAGAGCCCATTTGGTGTGGATCAGGCTTTCAGCAGTAGAGTTGAAATGTAAAACAGCTAACAAGTATCTCTGTTGCAAATGTACAGAGAAGGGCAGCTGGGTGGTGCAGTGGATAGAAGTACCAGCCCTGGAGTCAGGAGGCCCTGAGTTCAAATCCAGCCTTAGACACCGGACACTTACTAGCTGTGACCCTGGGCAAGTCACTTAACCCCATTGCCTAGCAAAAAAACAAAAGCAAGTGCACAGAGGAAACTTGAATGCCAGCTTCTCAAGTGATTGGAATCATTCTCTCGTTATTATTTAAAACATATCCTTTTATCTGTGTGGGAATAGAATAGCCTCTTCTATACCTTATTCGAGTTTACGCTTTGGGTGCCCTTTTCACTTCATCCTCTCCTCTATCCTGCTGGGGAGGAACCTTTAGACTAGGATAAGAAATGGAATTGTTTGCCAAATTCTTGAGGTGGGGGTGGAATCAGCACACTGGGGAGCCTGGTTCTCCCAGTCTTCCTTCCTACTCCAAGTCCAGCACTCTATCCACTGTACCAGAATGCTTTTAGAATGGCCTAACATGTCAAAATGATGTAGAGTACAAATATTAAAAGGTCTTTAGAGGGGTAAATGGCTATTAATAGATTTACTGCCTATTTCAGCATTTAGTCCCTTGTGACTGGGTCTGAGAGCATCTCGCAGGGTTTGGCCGAGTGACTAGAGTTAAGTGGGTATCCTCCTCTGCCCTCTTCGGCATATAAATTCCACAATTAGTTGAGTGTTTGGATTGGATTAATCTGTTTCTGGCCTTGGTTTTGCTAATCCCAGCCTCCAATGACATGTATGATTCAAGGGAACCATTCTTTGCCAAGCAGACTTGCAAAATGCCATGCATGCATCAGTGAGTAAATAACAATAGCCAGGATGTTGCTGAACTTCCAGAATATTCCATATTTTTAAGCCAGCCTTTGAGAGATGAGTCTGGTTTCTTTGAATGTAGAGACTCTGTTGGCCAGTGATGATCACATGGAAAGCAAATTCAGTCTTATTTTCCTCTCCCCCTCTCCAAAAATTGCTTAAGACCAGACAAGGAGCTTCTCGATTAAACGAAGCCGCTCCTCTAAGGTGGAGAGGGAAGGAAAAGGTGAGAGAGCATGGGTAGAAATGTTAGCATATTACAGCAGAAAGAATATTGGCTTTAGAGTCCCAGGAACTGAATTCAAATCCTGCCACTGACACATTCTACCCATGTGACCTTGGTCACACAGATGACCAAGTGAGCAGTCACTTAAACTCCCTGGATCTCAGTTTCCTTGTCTAAAATGATGACATTGGAATAGATTGCCTCTGAGGTTTCTTTCAGCTCTAGATATGTGATCCCTGTGATATCACTGAGTGGTTAGAATCAGAAAATTGGAATGAGAGATGCTGTGCTAGTCAGTGTATCATTGATGTAAGGGAAAAGAATGCCAGCCTTGAATTCACTAGACTTGGGTTTTAGTTCTGGTGCTATGACTTCCTGTGTCACCATTGGCAAATCACTTAAATCTCTCTGAGCCTCAGTTTTCATATTAGTAAAATGGGGATAATAATAGCTGTCTCAAAAGACACTTGTGAGGTAAGTATTCTCTAGAACTCAGAGGCAGCTGGGTGGCACAGTGGAAAGAAGGTTGGACTCAGTGTCAGGGAGACTTGAATTCAAATCTGGTCTCATTTACTAGCTGTGTGACCCTGGGCAAGTCACTTAACCCTGTTTGCCTCAGTTCCCTCACCTATGAAAGGGAGAAAACAGTACCACCTGCCTCCCAGGATTGTGGTCATGATGAAATGAGATAATATTTGTAAAGTGCTGTGCAAAGATTATAGTGATGTAAGTGCTACCTATTATCAGAGCCTGCTCAGGTTATGAAGAACACACCCTTTTGTTCTAGCATCTGCCTAAGTAGAATATAAGATGTAGATACTTCAGTCTAAAAGCAAAGTTTGGGCCAGAAGCTTAGAGACCAGCTAATCCAATTTTCCCGTTTTACAGCTGAGCAAACTGTAGTTTAGGAAAAGAAGGAGAGCTCTTTTCCTAGAGAGAAAGTAATAGAGGCAGAATCTGAACCCAGATCCAAATTCTAAATCCAATCCTCTTTCCACCAAGCCTCACTGCTTGCCTTTGTATATGACACACATTGTGCTGGTGCTGAGAAGGTGCAAAAGTATGTTTTAAGAAATGTATAGTTAGGAGAGACAGACAGAGACAGGGAAAAGAGGAGGGAGTGGGGAGAAGCAGAGAGAGGGCAAGGAAGGAAGGGAGAGAAGGAGAGGAGAGGGGACAAAGAGAGAGACAAAGACAGAAACAGACAGAGATAGAGACAGAGATGGAGAGAAACAGAGACACATACACAAAGAGACAGAGAGAGACAGAGTCAAAGAGAGAGACAGAGAGACAGAGAAAGAAAGAGACAGAGACAAAGATAGAGAGACAGAGACAGAGAATCTGAATGAAACACAACTCTTATTAACCAGGAAATGTAGTTCAGATAATATTATTAACGGGAGGGCATTAGCTAGCTGGGAGTGACTGCTCTCTGATCCCGAGAGACTGGTGCCTGGAACAGAACTCTCCTGGAGGGTAACACCCTTTCTAGCCAAGGAACAAGCAGACTACTACCTGAGGGGGAAAAAAATGCCTGCGTGTTTTTTTTTCCCCCCTCTTGTCAGAAGATTTGTGTTTTGGTTTTTTTTTTCCCTCTCTGGTCCTATGAGTAGGTGTGTTAGGGTTTCCGTCTTTTTTTAAAAGAGAGAGCAAAGAAACCCTTAGGATTTTGAACTAAAAGAACACAGCAGGGTCCACTTGTCCAACTGTGAGGAAGACAATGCTCCAGCTAAGGACACTGGCTGAAGCCAGAAGAAGCAAGCAAAAAGAAATCATGCAACCTTATGCCCAATGGAACCAAACCAGTGGGGAGCTGGTGTAGAAGAATCATCATAATAATACCCCCAGAATATGTTCCTGAGCCTGAAGCATCAGAGACATGAGTTGCCGTGTCTCCATGTGTTTCTTTCATGTGTACTCCTCTATACATGCACACAGGTAAAACACGTATCTTGTATGAGTCTAGTATGCACTGAGGGGTGGTATTTGTGGGAGAATGGAGCCCAGGTATATGGAAGAATCATTGAGCTGCTATTTATTTTCCATTGTACTCTGTTTTTGTGTTTTACTATTTCAGTTATGAGATTGTAAGTTCACAGAACGAGGGCTGAAAGGCTATTTAGAGCCCATGGAGGCCGGTTTTCATTTTACGGATGAGGAATAGTGGATGATAACTGCACCTACCTCCCAGTATTGTTGTGAGGCTCAAATAAGATAATATTTGTTTTTCAAAAATGCTTAGCACAGTGACTGACACATAGTAGGCACTATGTAAGTGCTCATTCTTTTCCCCCTTTACAGATGAGGAAACTGAGACACAGAGTGAGTGGTTAAGCGATTTACTAAGGATTACAAAGTTAGTTAAGTATCTGAGGCAAGATTTTAACTCATCTTCTTGACTCCAAACCCGCTACCTACCTTTCTTCCCCTGGCCTTTTATGCTGTCCATCCCTTGCACAAACAACTTGATCTTGTGAGGTATAGAGAAAAGAACCCTAGAACTGGCTTTAGGGGCGCTGGCTTGGAGTTATCGTTCCGACACTTACTAACAGAGTTCTCTGTCTCAGAGTGGCATTATTATTATTACTGTTTCAGCCTTGGCCAAACTCAATAGCATTTTCATCTTCGTCTTCTAGATAAGTATAGAAAACAAGAAACATGTGCTTTTGCAGTTTTTGCCAGCCTATGAAATCTTTACCATCCGCGTACCCTTAATGATGCTGTCCTAAGAAGCACCAGACCAGTCATCCCAGCCCCTTTCCAGATCTTTAAAGAAGGCCTGTGTTAGCATTGGCACAGGATTGCTCAGTTATCATCCAGTCTGAAGACAAAAGGGAATAACTGATTCCTCATCAATACTATTATTTTGAGTTCCTCTTAACCACATAGTAAGCATTCAAGTAGGCCACAAAATATAAGCACGGTATTCGGAAATTTCCTCATTCATTGTACAGAAGGGCTTACTCAAAAAATATTTTCAGTCCTTATGGACAATCAGGCAATGACCTTGATTTTTTTTTCAATCAGCAAAACACATTCTCTTCTTTATAAGTTGCTGTTTCTTCCCACTTCCCCCCATCACTTTCATTGTTTACTGGGCACAAGTAACTATGGAGAAAGGGCTCAATAATGGAAATACAAAGGTGGAACAATCACCATACAAAGTGATGGTTATTATCCTGGGAATGCTGGGACCTGGAAAGCACTGGCGGGGAGGAGGTTGACAGCATGTGCACCCTAAGTCTTTGGTCCTCTGGGTCAATAGCATTACAAATTCTATTAGGATATAGATCTAAGATTAGGAGGTATAAAGGGAAGTAAGATTGCATGGGGTTTGTGTTGGGTGAATAATTCTGTTTCCAGGCTTTGGGTCATGGAAAGCAGGTCATAACTGGGGGTGATTTCCTTTCTTCTTAATTAAGTGAAACTTCTGGTTTCTGGACCTGGAGGTAAATGATTTTCTCTTTAGTTTTTCTTTGTCTGTGGAGACAAAACAAGGTCGAGAGGGAAGAAAGAAATAATGAGGAGATTAGAGATCAAAGGAAAGTCCTCACAACAACCCCAGATGAAAAGGGAGAATGATACAGAATAAGGGTATGGTTAGACTGAACTCCACAAGGGATTCTGAGCTGCCATTTTTGAATGAGAAACTCAAAGAAGCTGATGAATAGTAAACACAGGAGATTTGTCATTCCTTTCTAATCTAGGCTACAGGATTGACCCAAAACCTCTTTACCCACTCGTTTAATACTAAGGAAAACAGAGGGGAGTTGATAAACTTCATGTTAGAATAGATTAAAGTCACAGATATGTTCTATTGCCAATAGTTCTTAAAGTGGAAACCAAGTGAAAGTCTCCTAAGGAGATATTAATTTCCTTCCACCCCAGTCTGGAAAGAGAGGAATTTAATTCAAATAGGCTTTTTAAAATCTGCCTCAGTGATCACCTTAAAGGCATGTCATATTTCAAGAAGTGCAAAAGATGAGTATAGGGTTGAATGACAGCCCTATAATAATCCTAACTTGTAATATCCCACAGATATTATATGCAGAACAGTTTATTATGGGTCATCGCTCAAATTCCCATAAGCATCTCTAAGATCTCAAGCAAAGCGTGTCGATGCCCTTGTGTTTCTGCTTTGGCCATTTCTTTTAGGTATGTCTTTGTTTATGGTCATGCGAGAATCAAGTTCCCATTTTTGAGAGCAGAAATTCCACTGTAATATTAAAACAAAAACTCTCTGTGTTACTCTTAGGAGAAGTTTCTGTGGATTACTTAAATAGCAAGAATTGAATAAACATGTTTAATATCTATGCATCGTAGTGAACTGCTTGACTGGCATGTACATCCCAATAGACAAAAGATTCTTTAAAAATATTCATCATTTGCAGATCATGTGCTGTACCTAGAAAGAATTATCAGATGACTGAAATTCTCACCAAGAGAGGTTAGAAAAAGCTTATTTATGACTTTGTCAGATATCTGAGGTCGGAATGAAACCTTAGAGGTTGTCCAGTTTGGATCTCTGACTCTACAGATGATGAGATTGAAGCCCAGAGTGGCAAAGTGATTTACCTTAGATCGCTCAGAGAATAGTGTCAAAGCTGGAATTTGAACCCACATTCTCTGGCTTAAAATCCAGAGATTTTACCATGCCTTACCATGCTGCTTTCTGCCTTTCGTGTTTGAACTAGCATGGCATAGTGAACAAGTAGACTGGTCTCAAGAGTCAGGAATTCCAGTGTTCAAATCTGTCTGACACACACTAGCTAATTCCTCCAGGCAACTTGCTAAGACTATAAATTACAACTAAACTAGTGATCTACATAGGTGGAAGATGTCTCCACATTGGCAATATCCCAACACTGATGAAATCACAGTTCTAGATTCTCCCCCTCCCCTAATTGTGCTGATTCTTCTTAAAACCTAGAAAAACTTCTTGGGCAACCTGCATAGAATCCTTTTCACTATCATCCACCACCACATATTCCCACTTCAGAGAGAGTCAATCGTCACATTGGGCACAGCTTTTGGCACTTGATAGGAAATAGTATCTTTATGGGTATGGGTTATTTCCTATTAAATTTTTCTAATTGGCTGATTTAGATTTCGGGGACTGGTTCGGGTCATTTCAGGCCCACCCTGTTTTGGGCTCACGTTTTTATCAATAACATATCTCCATCAGATAACAAATTAACAAGAGGCAAAATTAAATGGAGAAAAAAGAACAAAAATTTGATATGAATAGGAAAAATCAAAAGCAGTGAACTGCAATGTTGGGTCAAGGGTCAAAAAAGAAACTTCTTTGTAATTTTTAAAAAATGTCAAATTCAAAGTAATGCCTATGGAGACTTAGATGCCTAATTTCTTCTTTTGAGAGCCCAGCTGTGGAAACATCTATAAAGACTCTGGAAATGTTCAAGCAGAGGCTGCGTGATGTACCAAGCATCGGGGATACTCTAGAAAGGATTTCTGAACTGAATGGGAGGTTGGAGTTGGTGACTTTGAAGACCTGTCCTCAGATTCTGTGATGTTCTCCTTCTAGGCCAGGTTTTAGACCCCTCTATGCTCTCTCGAACAACTGTGTACAGATGGCCCAAAGAGCTAAAAACTGGAGACAGTCTTGCATTCTTGGATTTAACCTGGCACATTTGGCCCAGATACAAACGATAGAAATGTCTGAGGTACATTCCATCAAGAGGCCTGCTAACAATGTTGGGATGCAGGTTTCCATTTTCTTTTAGAAGCCATGGCACCTTACCTCTGCATATTTTCAACTTCTTCAATGCTCTCAGGTAAGGTCTTCCCTTTGGTCTCAGGTAGCATCAATACCAACACCCCAGCGATTAAGCCAATCATAGCTAGAAGTTAAGCATACATAGTCAGAATCCAGGCTACACATGTGAAGTCCCATTAAGGACTAAATAATGTGTTTTTGTGTAATTAGAACTAACTTGATTTTTAAAAATCATTGTACCGTATTTATTTACAGATTCTTTTACAACTGCTAGTTACTCTATTTTTTCATCATAAATATGATACTGATACCAAAACTATACATAATAAAAATTCCTTACAGGAAAAAGAAACTCTCGAAAATTGAGTTAAAGGTCATCCTTGGCCAGTCAGTCCATATCATTGTGAATCTTTGATGTTAGAAAATAACTTTGGTGGCAAAAATGACCAGGAGGTGAACTGTCAAGTAAACAAGTCAACAGCATTTATCAAACACACACTATGTGTCACATATGGTGCTATAAGGCGAGGATATAAAGAAAGACAAAACCAGTCTGTGCTCTTATGGAGCTCAAGTTCTAATGACAGGGGACGACATGCAAATGACTATGTACATATAAGACACACACAGGGTAAATGGGAGATAATCTCAGAGGGACAGCACTAACCTTGAGGGGGACTGGAAAAAGGTAGAGTTTTTGCTGAGGCTTAAAGGCAGCTGGGAGGTAGAGTTGAAGGTATAGGACATTCCAGGCATCACGGAGAGCCAATGAAAAGAAAGAGAGTTGGGAAGTGAGGTGGCTTGTATAAGAAACGAAAAGAAACCAATGTCACTTAGATCAGGGAGTAGAATGTAAGAAGATTGGAAAGGTAGGAATGGGTCAGGTGGTGAAGGGCTTTAAAAGCCAAACAGAGGAGATTATGTTTAATTCTGGAGCTAGTAGAAAGCTAGTGGAGTTGACTGAAATGGGCAGGGGAAAGCAGGTTATAGGCTCAAAACTTTGCTTTAAGTAGATCTTTTTTACAGCTGAGTGAAGGATGGACTGGAGTGGGGAGAGTCTTGAGACAGGGAAACCAACCAGAGACTATTACAATAATCCAACTGTGAGGTGATGGGGTCTGTACCATTGGTGATGGTAGTGTCAGAGGAGAGAATCTATCTTAGAAGAGAAATGTTGTGAAGGTAGCACTGGGCTCACATCTCCTCAGTATCCTCTGCCCCTGGGACCCCTCTGTTGGAGGACAGAGCGGAAAGCTCCTTCCCAAACCTCTGTTTAGGGAGGGGGGCCAGGCCAGCCATTTCTTCATTTCCCACCCAGATTCGCCCCTTCGGAATTCTCCATTGCCTTCCCAAGCTCAGTGCCTCCCCCTCCAATTTTTCAGTTTCCTTTTGGGCTTTGTCTTCCCCCATTTGATTGTAAGCTCCTTAAAGACAGGGACTGTTTTTCTTTTTCATATTTGCATCCCCAGCACTTAGCACAATGCCTGGCACATAGTAAGTGTTTAAATAATTGTTGATTCACTGATATGGGACAGTGAGGAGACAAGGATGACCCCTAGGTTGCAAGCCTGAGTGACTGGGAGATTGGGGACTCTCTTAATAGTATTAAAGAAGCAATGAAGAGAGGGCAGCTAGGTGCGGATAGAGCACCAGCCCTGGATTCAGGAGGACCTGAGTTCAAGTCCAGCCTCAGACACATAACACTTACTAGCTGTGTGACCCTGAGCAAGTCACTTAACCCCATTGCCAAACAAAAAAAAAACCAAAGTAATGAAGAGGAGGAAAGATAGTAATTTCTCTTTTGAGCATGTTGGGGTTAAGATGTCTATGTGACTTCCTGCTTGAAATACCTATTAGATAGTTGTGATGTGAGACTAGAGATCAGGAGACAGGTTAGGGTTTGGAAAATAGATCTGAGAATGATTGGCATGGAGATGATAACTGAATCAATAGGAGCTGATGAGATCCACAGGTGACCTAGTATGGAGAGAGAAGTGAAAAGGGATCCAGAACAGAGCCTGGGGGAACACCTCTGGTTAGTGGGTGTGATATGGGTGAAGATTCAGACAAGTCAGAGAATTGTACTTTTCTAGGTGGTCAGCAGTAAGGAAACATGTTACAATTGAGGGGCAGCATAGAACAGTGATAGAAGAGATTGTGTCTCAACGATATACTTAATACGCAGGTACTAAGTAGAAAAGCTAGTCTTTATGTCTATACAAATTCCAAATTCTGTGCTGGGCTTTTTCAGTTATACTGCCCTGCCTCTTACACCTCCCCATGTTGTTCCTGTTTCTCTAAAATTTATATTATATTCATTTTGCCTTGTAAACAATAGGTAGGATTTCCAAAAGGCAAAGAAGAAGATGGTCATAGTATTTTAAGTATGGTGAACAGTTAATACAAAGGCCCGGAGGTGGGAGATGGAACATTATGTACAAGGAACAGCAAGTAAACCACTTGGGCTGGACTTTAGAGTGTAAGGAGGGAGACAATTTTGCTGCTAGCACTTTGCTACCTGTTAGCAGCTCTGAAGAAATGATTGGTAAGGAAAAATGAAACTACTGACAACAGTAAAATTTTGAGGTCATTTGGAGATATCATTCTTGTGTTCCCCACTTAGCCACTATTAGGAGATAATTACATAGTTCTTATTCTCTGATGGAATAACTAAGGTATTTGGAAATTATGTTTTGGACAAATTTTTTTTTTTCATTCTGTAGAGAACAAGATTTAACTCTTACCAAAAACCAGGAGGGGGAGTTCACGCCAGAGATCAGTCAACCTGTAGACGAGGAATGGTGTTACCACTCCACCAATATCACACATTGAAGAGCAGACCATTACACCAAGATTCCTAAAAATAGAAAAGTTTTTATAGATCAAAATATGGTGGCTCAAATCCCCAAAATAACACCTGAAAACACCTCAAATATTTTCCTAGGTCCCTAAGATGTCTTCTCTTTAGGCAACTGCTGAAAAATTCTCAAAGCAGAAGGAAAGTGAATGATTGGTTTACTCTCTCATTATATATGATACCTTTTGCTCAGAATTTCAAGGGAGAAACAACACAATTTTCCTTTTCAATGAAGGCTCAAAGTATCAAATTTGAAGTCAGGTTGTTTCTCAAGGTTACATCTCCAGAGCACCACAGTACACCAAGCTCTCCTAGCCTCCAATATCTCCTGAGGTCTGTTCGACCACATGTTCATTGCTTCCATGACACTATCTATTCATCTCATTCTCTGCTGTCCCCTTCTCCTTTTTCCTTCAATCTTTCCCATTATCAGGGTCTTTTCCAGTGAGTCCTGTCTTATTATGTGGCCCAAGTATTTAAGCTTCACTTTTAGTATTTGTACTTCCAATGAGCAGTCTGAATTAATTTCCTTAAATGTTGACTGATTTGATCTCCTTGCTGTCCAAGGGACTCTCAAAAGTCTTCTCCAGAACCATAATTTGAAAGTGCTAATTCTGTGGCACTCAGCTTTCCTTATAATCCAAATCTCACAGCTATACATTACTACTGGAAAAACCATGGATTTGATTATATGGTCCTTTGTCGACAAGGTGATGTCTCTGCTTTTTAGTATGCTCTCCAGATTGTAGGTAGGTGGCACATTGGATAGAGGGCCAGGCCTGGGCTCAGGAAAATTCATCTTCATGAGTTCAAATCTGGCCTAAGACACTAGCTGTGTGACCCTGGGCAAATCATTTCACCCTGCTTGCCTCAGCTTCCTCATCTGTAAAATGAGCTGGAGAAGGAAATGGCAAACCACTCCAGTATCTTTGCCAAGAAAACCCTAAAAAGGGGTCACAAAGAGTCAGACATGACTGAACAACAACAACAACTATATTTGTCATGGCTTTCCTTCCAAGGAACAAGTGTCTTTTAATTTCATGGCTACAGTCACCATCTGCAGTGATCTTTGAGCCCACGAACATAAAATCTGACACTGCTTCCATTTCTTCTCCCTCTATTTGCAAGGAAGTGATGGGACCGGTTGCCAAGATCTTAAGTTTTTTGATGTTAAGCTTCAAGCCAGCTTTTACGCTCTCCTTTTTTCACCCTCATCAAGAGGCTTCTTAATCTTCTAAACTTTCTGCCATCAGAGTGGTATCATCTGTGTGTCTGGGATTGTGGATGTTTCTCCCAGCAACCTCAATTCTGAGGGGTTTTTAATCCATAGGACTTCTCGGTTGATTAGCTCTTTAAACTAATCTACCCTTTTGTAATTTGGCATTTCCTGAGCAGTTTGAAGGCTTATTCCAGACATTCTTGGTTTCCCCTTTATCGTCTTTGTATTCTGTCGACAAATTGCATTTGTAAGCTATACAAAGGTTGACCTCAGGGCACTTGGCCCCCACGACCTCTGCCACGTGCTCAAAAATAACAACATCCATCCTGTTTTTCTGTTGTGGCCGTTGCATCAATAGGCAAACATTTCTGGTCATTTCATTCTTCATGCTGAGCAAATTCCACTTACCTGATGAATGTGGGATACAATTCAGTGTTGACCAGGCAAACCATCTCATAGGCCATCGTGATCCCCAATCTACCAAGGCATGCAACTGTAATTTTTAGCCACATTAGATCTAGAGGGAAAAGATTTCAACATATGAATTGGAATAAGAAAAATACTTAGGCTGCTACTATGATATCATATAATCTTACAAATAGCATCTAATAATGAGAGTTTCTATATCCCTGGAATAAGGATGGGAGTAATGTTAACCCTTCTAAATAACAGGAAAACATTTCAGAAAATTTCTCTTCCATTTTGTTCTAATTCAGTCCAAATCAACAAACATTTATTAAGCACCCACTACATGTAGAGCACTTGAGCAATGCTAGTTCCAGGATAGATGACAAAGTTTCATTAACATGGATCCCAGCCTTCATGAAACTTATCGTCTCCAGTCACTGTGTGAATTACCAATTAACTTGATAACCTTATAGAACGATAGTTTTTATTAGGAACTTCTAACAGCACTTCCCTTTCTAGTGTACTTACTGGCACCTTGATGGCTCAAACATGAATTGGTTGGTCTCAAGTGACCCCTTGGCACCTCATGGAAAACAGGCTATGACTGTGAAGACTGTCCCCAGAATGAATTGACCCAGATTCCTGGGAGGAAAGCCAACTGTGAGGAGAGCTGTGGCTCACACATACTCATACACTCACATACTTTGGAAAATAATAAAATTTAGAAAAAATTTTTTGATATAGTGGCTGCTTGAAGTAGCCCAATAAAATTCCATATTGTTCAAATGACCTTCCATTTTCTTTAACTGGTGCCTTTGGTGTTCTACTTTGAGTGTGATCATCACAATATGGAAGCTACGTAAGGGTAAGAGAATGACCCACTGATTTTATGGTTTCTCAGCATTTTATCTTCTTTGAGGCAGTATGCAAAGAACATTGGATTTGCCAGCAGAAGTCTAGAGCTTGAGTCAGGGAACTGCCGTTTACTGCCTGTGTGACCTTGAGCAAATAACTCTGATTCTGTGAGCCTCAGGTTATTTAACTGTAAAATGAGGGGGTGGAGAAGATGACCCCAAATGGCCCTTCCGATCCTAATCTATGATCCTATGATTGTATGAGAAGCAACCTTCCTGTTCAGGGATTCTGTCTTGCCTGTGATTTCTTACTTGTTTGAGCACCTGTTTTTAAGTTTTTGATGAGTATTGAATTGTGTGTTTTGTTCTTTACACTGCTTTAACTCCTTATGTCTCCTTAATCTCTTAACATTGCTTTCAACTGCTGATTATAGGAATCTAGGATTTCTGATGTGTTCTTACCCTGAAAGGGAAGCTACATGGTGCAGTGGACAAAGCACTGGGCTTGGAGTAAGAAAGACTCATCTACGTGAGTTCAGATGTTGCCTCAGACACATACTAGCTGTGTGATCCTGGACAAATCATTTAACCCTGTTTGCCTCAGTTTCCTCATCTGTAAAATGATCTGGAAAAGGAAATGGTAAACCACTCCAGTATCTTTGTACATAATTGAAAAACACCTGAACAACTCTTATCCTGAATTTATATGACATATTCCTTTGTTATTATTATTATCTCATTATAATATTTTCCACCATTTTCTTCATCATCATCATCATCATCTTTATTATTAATAAACATTGGAAAAAGCATCTGCATTGTGTCAGCATTCAAAGGGCTGAACAAAATGGCCTTTTCGGAAAGCCAAAGAGTGGCCCTCAAACTCACCATGGGGAAGAAAAGCTAAGATGAGACAGGCTGCCCCAGCCACCATATTTGATGCAGCCCAAGGGTAGCGGCGGCCAATGCGATCAATGGTGAAGATAATGAGGAGAGCAGCTGGGAACTCAGCCAGAGCAGAATAGAAGAAATCCAAATGGACATTCCCACCTGCAAGTCCTATGTGCATGATGAGGCCCTGATAAAGCACAGCACTTGTGAACCTTAGCAAAGAAAAGAAGCAGAATAAGGTGGAGCTCTTTTTGGTAAGTTAGCCCGAGATCATTTCTTCATTACTTCTTGGTGGGCTAGGAAAAACAAAGAAAAAAAGTACACATCTCATGACACACAATTCTTATATAGAAAGATGCTTGACTGAAATTAATACCCTTCTTGTTCACTGAAAAACTGATTTATATATAGGATAGAGAAGGAAAGTCTAGCCCCACCTACCCTCAATCCCATGATCGGTGTTTAAGACAAACATCTTACGTAATTTTGTGGTAACAAAAATAATTTTGGGCAGCTAAATGGCTCAGTGGAGAGAACACCGGGCCTAGAGTCAGGAAGACTCACCCTGAGTTCAAATGTGACCTCAGACTTCACTAGCTGTGTAACCCCTTGCAAGTCACTTAACCCTGTTTGCCTCAGTTTCCTCATCTGCAAAATGAGCTGGAGAAGGAAATAGTAAAACAAACAAGAAACTTTTTTAGCAGAGCAGTTTCCTAGGCTCAATGCTATATTATCTTAGAATTAAAGGAACATAATTGGAAGAGACTAGAGGTTATGTAGTATATGACCCCCTCAATATACAGGGAAGATATTGAGGGCCAGGGAACTGAAGCTGTTTACCCACAGCTAAGAAGCAGTAAATTTGGGATTTGAAGCCAAATCCTCTGACTCCAAAACCTTGCTTTTCCTATTTTACCCAAGGTCTTAACCTGTCGTCTGTTTTCTTTAAAAAGACTTGGGGAGATTTGAAATACTGAAGTCCCATGCAGCGAAACGGCCCTCTCCTTTATCTGTTACCTAGGTTGCCAGGAGAGTACATGAGGTTTGGGGCAGAGCCCTTAGTCATTGGCCAGGTGTTGGGGATGAGGAAAGGGCCCTGACATTAAGAGGTTCTCTATTTAATCCTTTGGTGGCTAGGTGGTGCAATGGACAAGGCACCAGCCCTGGAGTCAGGAAGACTTGAGTTCAAATGTGGCCTCAGACACTTCCTAACTGTGTGACCTTGGGCAAGTCACTTAACCCTGTTTGCCTTGGTTTCCACATCTGTAAAATGAGCTGGAGAGGCAAATGGCAGACCATTCTGGTATCTCTGCCAAGAAATGGGGTCATGAAGAGTCAGACACAACTGAAAAATGACTGAACAAAGTAACAGGCTTGGAAATTAATTATGGCTACTGAATTGCTGGTCATGGCCTTAGACTACAGTTCATACTTCGGAGAGAACTATTACGGCCAGAGGAGGAATGCCAGCAGGCAGACCTCTAATGCAGGAGCAAACAAAGAGGAGGGTGTAGCAAGCAAGCTTTATGGAGGGGAAGATGCTCACACGGCGCCAGGGCGGCCAGGTGGGACGATGGACACAGGCGGGCTAAGTATGCCCCACTACATGTAATATGTCCACAAAATGTAACTTTGTATTTTAAAGGAATGTTTAGTTGTAAATTTGAAAAAAAGTTAATGTTAAATTTCTTTAGTTTAATGAACAAAAATAATGTCCTTTTATGATAGAATACTCAATTGAAGATCACCTTTAAAAAATTCCCCAGATGCACACCTTAATGAAATGTGCTGGGTATGCCTATGTAACCTCGACCCTGTATGGATGTTCTTTCTTCAGATTCCAGACTATCTGTTGAAGAGTTCCTACTGGTCATTAAAATAGATGGCACAAAGTTCATTGTTAATTGAGGCACTACTCAATCATCTGTGAAAATCGGAGAAAGCTCTAGTACTTCATTTCAGTCAATGGTTGAAGTTTCCTCCCAAGCCAAGTCTTTCATAAATAAATATGGAACTTTTTGCTTTCCTCTATTTTTTGGATTTGCCAATGAATCCCAACATGATCCAAAAAAGAAGAAACAACAGAAAGAAAATGAATTATTCCAAAAACTGAGTTGATCACAAGTCATTTTCATCTATCACCTCATTATTGGTGTCTCTTCCATTTTACCATTGAGAATTTATTAGATCACAATAACAACTGTATGCCACAGAGCAGTTGTTGATGGTGCATTAGTAGAGGGAACTTCCTCACTAGAAGTTTCCTTTACCAGGTTCAGAACTTTGCCCCCTCCTCCCCTCCTCTACTGAAAAGTTTATAGTACAGGTACCTCTTCCACATCATGGGGGTTAGAGGCATGGTGCCCTCATGATCTGTAAAATCTGTTTAATAATTTGACTCTTCATATCACAGAAGAAATCTGAATTTTTTTCTTTTTATTTTATGGGGTGTTTACAGGACTTCATTGTAAAATTTGAGTTAAGCATTTGGTCATAGACTCTGTGTTGTCTGTTGGCCTTTGCATGTAATGTCTGCAGCTTCTGCAAAATTCCCTTTAAAGTTTGTAGAATGCTTTACCCATCCCTTAAGTCTTTCTTCCCCAAAAGGCAGATTAAACATGAATTATCTCATCTGTGACTATCCTGAAAACCAATAGGAGGGTCATAATACCCAGAAAGAGTCCATTTCAGATTGCTAAGAGAGGAGAAAGTGTCCCCTTCCACATGGGCACACACAAACACTTCTTTCTTCTCTTCCCCATTCTTCCTCTTCTTCTTCCTCTCCCTTCCCCTCTCCTCTTTTCCTAACCCTCTCCTCTCTCCTTTTAATATTGTCATGTAATTGAAACTTCAGTCAGATACCTTGGGTTTGAATCCTGCCTCTGAGGTCCCTTTCTTGTGCGTTCCAGGCCTCAGTTTCCTTCTTTGTAAAATGAAGCAGCTCCAAGGTCCCTTTGAACACTAGCATTCTATGATTGTAATCAACCAGATCATTCTTCTAATTCTACCAAATTAATTTCTTTTTGGGGGGGCAGGGGGCGTAGGCAATGGGGTTAAGTGACTTGCCCAAGGTCACATAGCTAGTGAGTGTTATGTGTCTGAGACCGGATTTGAACTCAGGTCCTTCTGACTCCAGGGCCAGTGCTCTATCCAATGTGGCACCTAGCTACCCCTGCCTAATTTCTACCAATTATTTTCTAATTTTACCAAATATGAATTTTAGGAAACCAGCAGTGGCTGTTGTCTATGCCTGTAATTTCCTTCTGCTAATGATATGTATCTTATTAAACACAGACTAATACAAACCCATCTTTTTGGTCTAATTTATCACAATAGTATTAATTACACTTTCAAAATATTTAGGCTAAAATAATTTAGTTATCTATCATGTAAAAAGTGAAGCTGTACCATAATTGTTAGGAAATGGAAGGAAGAAATAACCCAGAAATCCTCTGTTATCAAAGTCCCAGAAAAACTGTAAAATTCATTTCTGGTGATCTTAGGTTTTATTGGTGAATTTTGAGAAATAAATGGGAAAAGGGTAAGTGAGATGAGGTGAAAAGCTGGGGGTGGGGAGGAGGGGCGCAGGTGCCATTCATTTTATTCTGCCAGGGTATTTTTTTTTTTTTATTTCCTGGAGGCTTCTCTGTTTAGTGAATTGGGAAGGTTACAATGCTTCTTACAGAATATGAATGAACTAATGAACAGTTTGGAGGAGCAGTGTTTAATTTTAAAACATTGGAAATAGAAAGTGGGGCTAGGCCTTCGTTAGCCACGTGATGGATCAATCATGCATGAGGACGTATTTCTTTTTTGTATCACGATGCCTTTTCCTTGCTACCTAAGCCCTTCCAGACAGCCTGACCCTGCCATCAGTCAGTCATTCAGTTAGCAAGCATTTATTAACAGTAGAAGGACCAGAATTTAAGAATATCTTGAAGGACCAAACTGCAGTAATTATTGCACTACATTTGTTTTTAATCCATAAGAGAAAAAAATAGAGATATTTCAAAATAAAATTATAGTATCTGTTTGTAATTATTTGTGTCTAAGTTATATTTGCACAGATAGGAGAAATTATGGTAAATTATTAAAAAATTCTTCACATCAGTTGACTCTCCTGCTCCTTCTAGAATTGCAGGGGTGGGGAACACTTGGCTTCAGGTCACATGTGGCCTTCTAGGTCCTCAAGTGCAGCCTTTTTGACTGAGTACAACCTTTACAAAACAAATCCTTTCATTAAGGGGATTTGTTCTGTGAAGTTTGGAGTCAGTCAAAGGGTCACACTTGAGGACCTAGAGGCAGCATGTGGCCTCAAGGCCACAGGTTCCCCACCACTGTGGCACTTACCACGTCCCAGGTGTTGTGCTAAGTTACAAAGTAAAGCAAAAAACAGCCCCTACCTTCAATGAGTATACATTCTAATGGGGGAAGCAATGTATAAATCATCATTATTTGGTTTGTGCTTTGGGCGTGCAAATGATTAATATTATCCGAAGTCATAATCAGATGTAATTACAGGGCTTTAAATGAAGCACACACTGCATTTTAAAGCCCATAATTAATCTTTGAATTACACCCCATGGCTCTCCTCAGGTGGTGTGGACAATTGGGATACAACTGAATAGATTTTTTGCTCTATTATTGTGAATAATGCGAGCTAAGCAGGTGCAGGCTGGCCTTGGAGTCAGGAAGACTTGGGTTAAAGTTCTCCTTCTGACAGCTACTGGCCATGTGACCAATAAGTCATTTAACCTCCCAGTACCCCAAGCGACTGTCTAAGATGATTCAGTTCTTGATGAATGGCTAATGTACACCTGTGAAGGGGGTTGCCACCCAATTGGTCCTCTTCTAGAAGGAAGGACCATCATCACCATCACCACTACCAATGCACTTTAATTAATATTAATTAATAATTACTTGCCGTTTAATTTTCTGCCTGAGTGTAAGCACAAGGGCCGACTCTAGCTCTTCTCCTCCTCAGCCTCCCACCCCCAAATAGAAAATCATGTGATGAATGCCTCCTGGTACTTCTTACCAGTTGTACATCAAGATGAGAGTATGCTTCCTTATCTGAGGCGTTCTGACCAAGTCAATAAAGGAAGGATTCATCTTCGCACTGGCTTCCTCATCAGGTTTAAGGCTCTGAGAATGAAAAGAATAAATGAACATGGCACAATGGCTAATGTATGATGTTCCCGAGTAACAGGAAAGAAATTATATGATGACCTGAGGGAAAAAGTGAGGAAGGAGGATGGAGAAATCTCTTTTTGTTGTTCAGTTGTTTTCAGTTGTGTCCAACTCTTCGTGACCCCATTTGGGGTTTTCTTGACAGAGATACTAGAGTGGTTCCCCATTTCCTTCTCCAGCTCATTTGACAGATGTGGAAACTGAGGCAAACAGGGTTAGATGACTTGTCCAGGATCACACAGCTAGTAAGTGTCCAAGGTGGGATTTGAACTCAGGAAAGATGAATCTTCCTGACTCCAGGCTTGAGCTTTATCCACTGTTTGTACGTAATTGTTTGCATATCATCTCATTAGACTGTGAGCTCTTTGAGAGTAGGGGGTGTTTTTTGCCTTTGTTTTGTCCCTGGTGCTTAGTATAGTAAATGGCTCATAGTAGGCACTAAATAAATGCTAGCTGATTGATGGATTGAGGTTTTTAAAAGCAGGTGTTGTTTGAACATTTAGTGGGATGGGATGTGCTGGACCAGCACACTTCTCTGGAACTCACATATATGGGAATTGCTTTATAGGTTCACCAAATACTTTTCTCACAACTCTGTAGAGGCAAGTGGCGCAAATATTATTATTCCGATTTTACAGATAAGGAAACTGAGGGCCAATAGTTAAGAAGAACCTGAGCTAAGATTCAAACTTGGATGTCTATGATCCTATGATTCCAAGTTAACTTTTGCCATGAAACCACACCATTGGTCACATATCATAACCAAGAACCCAGAAGCTAGCCACAAAGGCCTCTGAGCAGCTAAAATTGTTGTTACAAACCTATGCCCTAAAGCGTGAGTGTTGCTCAGAGGTACTCTTCAGATGTTTATGTGAAACTTCTTTATTCTTACCTTAGAATAAAATAACTTAACAACTTGGGTTGGTTTTTTTTTTCTTTGTGTGGTTTTTAACCCACAACAGACTAGAGCCTGGGGCAGTTAGGTGGCACAATGGACTGAGCACTGGGTCTGAAGTAAAGACTTGAGTTCAAACATGGCCTTAGGCACTTACTAGCTATATGGCCTTGGGCAAGGCACTTAACCCTATTTGCCTCAGTTTCCTCATCTGTAAAATGAGCTGGAGAAGGAAATGGAAAACCCCACCAATATCTTTGCCAAGAAAACCCCAAATGGGGTCACGGAGAGCAAGACGTGACTGAAATGACTGAATAGACTAGAGGCAGTGGGGGAGAAAAGGGCTTAGAGAGAGAACCAGTAGGGAAAAAAATGGATCTGAAGACAGAGAACTTGGGTTCCAATCCCTGCTCTGTCACTTACAATCTAAGTGATCTTGGGAATACCATTTAAATCTCTATGGGCCTTGGTTTTCTTCCTCTGTAAAATGTTGGAGAGGACCTAAACCTATGATGGCTGTTACAGGTGAACAGGCTGACAGGAACAAGGAAACAACAGCCTCATGTCTGGTGAGGAAAGAGTAAAATGAAAAGAGGCAGATACAGACATATGGGATGAAACCATTTGGTTTGGGGGCAAAATAGATCCCTCTGCGTCAGCTACCTATGAGGATGTCCCTGTACTGTTATACAAAACAATAATTGATGTTCATAATGAACCCCTTAAAATAATCAAGATAAGCTGTATGGCAGCTAGATAGATAGAGCAGTGGACATGAGTTCAAATCCAGCCTAGTTATGTGGCCCTGGGTCTAAGTCAAACTCTTCCTGACTTAGTTTCCTCATCTGTAAAAATAAATAGCACCTACCTCTCTGGGTGGTTGTGAGAGTAGAATGAAATAGTATTTGTAAAGGGCTTTGTAAACCTTATAAAAACACCACCTAAATATTATTATTATAATAATTATTAATATTAATACTAATTCTTGCATATATTCCATTTAAAAGATGCAGCATGGATAAAGTGCTAGGTTCAGAAAGAGCAGAGATTGAATCCTGCCTCTGGCATGTACTGGCTGTGTGACCCAGGGCAAATCATTGAAGTCGGTCTTTTTGTGCCTCAGTAATTCTTTGGGACTTATCTATTAAGTTACAGATAGCTTGCAATGGATGGAGATCCCCATACCAATAGAATCACAGATCCTGTTTAAGAAGGCTATGAAATGTGGAATACTTGTGCTATGCTAAGCACTTTATAAATATTATCTCATCTGATCTTCACAATAACCCTGTGAGGTAGGTGTTATTATTATCACCATTTTACCATTGGGGAAGCTGAGGCAGATAAGTTAAGCAACTGGCCCAGGGTCACCCAGCGAGTAAGAAGAGGTCTTCATTGTCTCTTACTTGGACTATTGCAATAGCTTTTAAATTGTGCTCCTGCCCCCCCCCCCCCCCTCAAGTTTCTTTCTATTCCAATCTATTTATCACTCAGTTCCAAGGTGATTTTCAGGTGGAAGCTACATGGTGGAGTGGATAGAGTCAGTAAGACTTACATTGACTCCTGCCTCAGAGATTTACCAGCTGTATGGCCTTGCCAGTCACTTAACCTTCATTTGCTTCAGTTTTTTCGTATTTAAAATGGGGATAGTAACGGCATCTACTTCTCAAGGTTGTAATGGGAATAAAATGAGAAAATATATTTGTAAAGCACTTGTAAACCATAAGGTATTATGTAAATGTACCATTATATTATCTTTTTTTTTTTAAGGCAGTTGGGGTTAAGTGACTTGCCCAGGGTCACACAGCTAGTAAGTGTCAAGTGTTTGGTCTGAGGCTGGATTTGAACTCAGGTCCTCCTGACTTTAGGACCAGCGCTGTATCCACTGCACCACCTAGCTGCCCCTATATTATCTATTTATAATAATTATTATAATATTATAATTATTATATAATTATATAACAATTATTATATAACATTATATAATAAATCTTATTATATAATTATATAATTATTATGAATATTATAATATAATTATATAATATGATTTAAAGTATTATTATTATTATAGTGCAGCCATGACCATGTTTCCCCCTCATTCTCCCTCCATCAGGATCTTCCCCTCATCCCACTCAGCAAACTCTAGCAGCTCTCTATTGCCTCCATGATTTTATATAACATCCTGGGGGTTTGGCATTTAAAATGCTTCACAATTCTTCCCATCTTTATACACTTATTCCACCTTCAGGCACTCTCTGATCAAAACACACTGGTCTACTTGCTCTTCCTCATACACAATTTTCTATCATCTCCAGACTCTCTGCTTTTGTAGTCTTGATCCCCCATCCCCTCCCTCATCTCTACCTCCCAGCTTCCCTGGTTTCCTTCAATACTTAGATCAAAATCTACTTTCTTTAGGGGGAGGTAATGTGGGGTAGGGGGCCTTTCCTGGTCCCCCTTACTGTCAGTGCCTTCCTTCTAACATTATTATTATTTTTTTAGGCAAACATGGTTAAGTGACTTGCCCAAGGTCACACAGCTAATAAGTGTCTGAGGCTGAATTTGAACTCAGATCTGCCAGACTCCAGGGCTGGTGGCTCTATCCACTGTGCCACCTAGCTTTCCCCTGAGATTGTTTTCCATTTATACTGCATGTACACTTATATGTACAGTTATTTGCATATATCTCTCCTATTAGCATGTAGTTTAGTCAGTAAGCATTTATTAAGCACCTACTATGTGCCAGGCACTGGGCAAAGTACCAGGGATATATGTTCTTGGAGAGTAGGCTCCATGTTTTTGTCTTTTTTTTTTTTTTTTGCCCCCAGTGCTTAGCACGTTGCTTGGCACACAGTAAGCATTTAATAAATGCTTGTTGACTGACTGAGAATTGAACCTGTATGGTTTAACCCTAAGACTCCCATTAAATCAGACCAGTCCACCTAATTATATCTCCTCTAGTCTAGCTCCTGCTGAGACACATGGAAACCAGAATGGTCCTACTGGGCCTAGACCTCATCTGTACCTCCATAAATTAATCTCGAATGTACTGAAAGCCCTGAAATCGTTTAGTTATTGGTATAGAATGGATGGTCCTCATATGTAAGCATGCATCTAGCTTAATTTACAATTCCATAAAATATCCTAAATATCCTGCTCATGTCACCTGAGCTCATGCTAAAATGAAAAATGGTAAGCATCTTAGATAACAACATAATATAATGGAAAGAGCCCTGGGGACCAAGGTTAAAGTCTTGGATCTGCCCATTAAGTCACTGAGTGACCTTGGCACCAAGCTACTTCCCCTCAGTTGCCCCATCTATAAAACGATAGGACTGGATAATAAGACTTTTTATGATTCCATGCCTCCTGGCTACCACAAACACCAATTATAACTATTCCTTCCCATCTCCTTTCCCACCTTTTTCGAGGTAAGATACAAAAACTACCTGAAGAGAGGTTGGCAGAGATTTCTGATTTTTCCTTGCAATGTGCTTAATAATTTTCATGGCCTTTGCATTTTTGTTTTGAGAGATCAACCACCTGGGAGATTCTGGAAGGCACCTGCAGCAAAGTATAAGAGAAAAGAACTATTAGGTAGAAAACAAAATAATTAATGTCAGTTAACATAACTTGGACCATTATTCCTCCTGACAGAGGAAGTGACCTCTGAACTGAGCTTTGAAGGAAGACGAGGGTTCTGAGAAAAGTGGAGATGAAGAGGGAATTGTTTAGAACATAGAGAATAGCTTAACAGAATGCACAAAAGCAGGGGATGGAATGTCAAATTGGTGATCAACTAGGTGTCTGTCTACTGAATGTAAAGTTTAAGAAATGGGAAAGCATATGTATGTGCGTGTGTATGTGTGTGTGTGTGCATGTGTGTGTGTGTGTGTAGGGGAAGTAGATATGATGCAAGAATCAACTGGAAAGTTAGGTTGAAGATAGCTTATAGAGTGTCTTAAAACTGAGAGTCTGAGACATTTATATTTTAACCTAGAGGCAATAGGGAGCCATTGAACATTTTTGAAGAAGGGAGTAACATGGAAAGACCTGCACCTAAAGAAGAATATTTTTTTGGTCAGGTGATAGAGAACGGGTTACAGAGGGGAGAGACTGCAAGCAGAGAGGCAGACTAGGGGAATATTACAATAGTCTGAGTGAAAACTGATGAAGTCCTAAATTAGGATCCTAGGCATGTAAGTGGAGAGAAGGGAAGAGAGATGCAAGAAAATACCATGGAGGTAGAATTGACAGAACTTGGAAACTGACCAGTTAAAGAAAATAACCTTAACCCTATTCAAATGACTGAAATCATGGGTGGTCATTACATTGACCAGAGTTCTTAAGTCTTCATCTAATATGCCAAGACAGCCTCTTCAAAAAGTAAGAAGAACTAATTAACAGACTTCCAATTTGGACTCTTACAGTCTGCATGACCTTGGCCAACTTATTTAAACTCCCTGGGCCTCAGTTTCTTCTATTGTAAAGGAGAAACTCCTTCTTCTTCATTGCCACTTCCAGACTCTACGTCTCTTCCTCTGCAAATTTATCACTGAATCCATACCCTAGTGTCTGTCTGTCTTCTACTGATACCCAAGACATTATCCCTTCTCTCTCTCTCTTCTCTCTCTCTCTCTCTCTCTCTCTCTCTCTCTCTCTCTCTCTCTCTCTCTCTCTCTCTCTCTCTCTCTCTCTCTCTCTCTCTCTCTCTCTCTCTCTCTCTCTCTCTCTCTCTCTTTAGGCAATTGGGGTTAAGTGACTTGCCCAGGATCAAGTAGGTGTCAAGTGTTTGGTCTGAGGCTGGATTTGAACTCAGGTCCTCCAGACTTCAGGGCCAGTACTCTATCCACTCCGCCCAGCTACCCCCTCCCTTAATGATTCAGAGTCTCATGGAAATGAAGAGATACCATAAAATTGGAGAAGAGCAATTGTCTGGATTTTCAAAAAAGTGAAGAGAACAGATAGTGCAAAATACAGGCAGTGAACTTGATGACTTCAGCTCCTGGGAAAATTCTTGAAAGGATCATTAAAGAGATGGTTGGTGAACTGTCTAGAGAGGGAAGTGGTAATTACAAAGAGTCAGCATGGCTTTGTCAAGGACAGGTCTAACTGCATTTTTTTTTTGACAGGATTATTAAGCTAGTAGATTGTGGGGAATGCCGAGGCTATACTTTGCCTAGATTTGGAAAGTTTTGAGAAAGTATCTTGTCCTATTCTTATGGAGATATAAAGACATGAATTATAAAGCAATGCAATTACAGACGTTTTCTGTAAGCGGCTTTGCTTGCTGTGGACTTCAGGAGCATCAAACTTTCCCCAGGCTAAACTGATCACCTGAAATCTCCACACCATGCAGATTGACTCCATTTTTGATCCTCAACCCCTTCTTGGATCCCTCAATAGCTTCTCCCCTTGACTGGAGGGCTGGAGGGTGAAGCAATAACATCCTCCCAAACCCTCCCTTTATAGAGGGCTCAAAACTTTTCAGTGGTTCTGCTTGGTTTGAACTCCACAAATACCATGCCCCCCTGTCAGGTACCTCCTGGTAGCCCCCTATTCCTTTTTCAGCCTCCTTTCGTATATTGACTTCCCTCATTAGATTCTAAGCTCCTTTTTCTTATCTTTCTTTTTCTTATTTGCATCCCCAGCATTTTTGCATAGTGCCTGGTGCCTGGCATGCACATAGTAGGTGCTTAATAAATGTTTCATTGAATTGAATTTTTGAAGATGGATTCAGAACTGGTTGGATGATTGGACTCAAAGAGTGACTGTTAATGGTTCAGCGTCAGTGTGATGAGAGCTCTCCAGTGGAATACCCCAGAGATCTGAACTTGGTCCCATGCTATTTAATTTTCTATCAGTGACTTGGATAAAGGCACACATAGTATGCTCACCAAATTTTCAGATGACACAAAGCTGGGAGGGATACACTAGATAACAGAGACTGGATCTGAAAGGATCTTGATAAGCATTGGGCTTACTGAATCAGAGCTTCCATGGGGTAAATTTAAAGTTTTGTTCTTGGATACAAAAATAATCCACCCCACAAATGTAAGCCAGAAGAGGCATGGGTTATACAGCAGTTATTTTGCAAAGGATCTGGGGATTTCAGTGAACTGAAAATTCAGGAGGAAGGCGTAATGTGATATGGCAGCCAGAAAAACTAATGAGGGTCTTGAGCTGCTTTAAGAGGGACATAGCTTCCAGGAGCGGAGGTGATAATTTCCCTGTACTCTCACTTTTCCAGGTTATAATTGGATCATTGCTCTCAGTTCAAGGCAGCATGGTTTAACGACATTGATAAGCTGGAGGGTGTACAGAGAAGGCAACCAGGATGGTAGAGTGTTGAGTCCACATCATATGAGAATTGATCACAATCTTCTGTCATTCTATCTCTCTCTCTGTGCCCTACCACCTCTAAACCTATTCTTTGTTCTTACCATAACCTCCAGTCCCTTGGCATGTCCGTCCTTTGCTGGATCATCATCCCTACCTTACTTGGACGGACCGAGCTCTTCTTTGGCCTTTCACATTGCCATCTTAATAAGAAGTTCCTAATCTCACATTATCTTCCAATTCCTTCTACAATGTTTGGAAACGCGTCCAACTTTGTTGTTATTCAGTTGTTTCAGTCCTCTCTGACTCTGTGACCCCATTTGGAGTTTCCTTGGCAAGGTACAGGAATGGTTTGCCATTTTCTTCTCCAGGTCATTTTGCAGTTGGAGGAAACTGAGGAAACAGTGTTAAGTGACTTGCCCAGGGCCACATAGCTATTAAAGTTTCTGAGGCCAGATTTCAACTCAGGAAGAGATGAGTCTTCCTGACTCCAGACCCAGCATTCTATCCACTGTGCCACTTAGCTGCCTCTCATCCAACTCTCCTCTACTCTTAAAAAAAACCTCTTACCATATCTTACCAAACCTGCTAGCTGACAATCTGTTTCCTTCACTTTTTAGCTAAACTCTTTGAACAAAGCTTAGTGCCTCCACTCTTCTCCTTTCAATCTTTTCTAAGCCTTGTGTAATCTGGTTTCTAATTATAACTCTCAACTGAAACCACTCTTGCCAAAGTTATCAATGACCTGATTCCCAAATCTAACAGTCTTTTTTCCCCTCTGTTTTCATCCTTCTTGACTTCTTGGCAGCATTTGAAACTGCTGACTACCCTCTCCTCCCCAATACTCTTTGGGACTTTGTAATACTGTTCTCTCGCCCTAATTCTCCTGCTACTTGTCTGACTGCTCTTTCTTGGTCTCCTTTTCTGGATTTACATCTCTGTTATACCCATTAACTGTGGATGTACCTAAAGGTTCAGTTCTTTCTTTCTCTTTCTTTCTTCTTCTCTCTCTCTTTCTCTCCTCTCTTCTTTCTCTTTTCTCTATCTCTTTTCTCTCTCTCCTTTCTCTCTTTCTTTCTCCTCTTTGATCTCGCTCATTTCTCATTTCTATCTCTCACACATACTCTTACATCACCATCACTATTAATTTCTTTATGCAGATGCCTACAAGATCTCTATATCCAAACCAGTCTCTCTCTTGAGTTCCATTTCCACATCATGACCTACCTATTACACATTTCAAATTGGATATCCTTTAGATATCTCAGCCAGGTGGCTCAGTGGATAGAATGCTGGGCCTGGATTCAGGAAGACCTAAATTCAAATCTGGCCTCAGACACTTACTAGCTGTAAGTCACTTGCCCCTGTTTGCCTCAGTTTCCTCATCTGTAAAATGACCTGGAGAAGGAAATGGCCAACCACTCCAGTATCTCTGCCAAGAAAACCCCAAACGGAGTCACGAAGAGTCAGATATGACTGAAAAACAACAACAACAAAAGACATCTCGAACTCAATAGTCACAGATTTAGAGCCAGAAGGGACCTTTCAAGAACTCTAATCCAATTCCCTCATTTTTACAGTTAAGGAAGTTAAGGCCCATTTAGCTATGTTCTCTGACTCAAAATCTTGTGCTCTTTCCACTGTAGTACCTCAAATACACATACATATTTGAGCATTTTTTTTATTTGTTTGTTAGTTTTAAAGATGAAAACCCAAGGGAGTTAGATTAAGAGAAGTTGGAAGTAGGAAAAAAGTGTAGGAAGAGATGCTAAACAAAAAGGAAAAGAGTAGTATGAAGTCTCACAGAACCTTGTAATCCTGAAGTGTGAACACTTTCCATGGAAGCACAAGAACCTCTCACCTCACTAATACAATGTTCTGTGGGATCCAGGAGCACATCATGTTCTTGGGTGGTATACCATCCTTAGCACATGGGAAAATGAGGTTACTGGCTCACCATCAAAAGTGCATGCACTCAAGCAACTGTCTTAAATCTATTCACCGCTTGATTCATTGGAACAATGAATTTGTGAAGCATAAATTTGTGAAGCAATTTCCATTAAGTGCATGTCAATATGAAAATAGAGGGCAAAAATGGCATGATGGTATCTCTGAAGCTTACTATTTATGTGGGCAGCTACATGCTGTAGTAGATAGAGCACTGGGGCCTAGAGTCTGAAGGACCTGAGTTTAAATTCAGCCTCGGACACTTAGCAGCTGTGTGATACTTGACAAGTCACTTAATCCTATTTGCCTCAGTTTCCTCCTCTGTCAAATGAGCTGGAGAAGGAAATGGCAAACACTCCAGTATCATTGCCAATAAAACTTCAAATGGGGTCATGAAGAGTCAGACACAACTGAACCACAACTATTGCTATATGATCTTGGTGGATTCACTTAAAAGTTCCTGGGCTTGAGTTTCCTTATCTAAAAATAAAATGAGAGTAGATGGAATAGGTGATTTCTGGAGTCTCTTTCAGGGCTAGGTGTCTGATCTTAACTTCTGTGTGTGTTTGGGGGTAAATCTGAGGTGATATTTAAGTCTGGGGTGGAGGCAGATTCACTAATTCATCAGGGTATGTGAAAGAGAGACATACCCAAAGGATAGGGATGCCTGTTGGTGTGGCAAGATGGCAGAACTGAAGAAAGGTAAGTATTGGAGGAGATGTTTCAGCAAGAAGAATGAGGCTACTTGAAGTGAGAATGTGCTGTAGTGTAAACAGCACTGAACTGTGGTCCAGCAATGCCAAATGGAAAATTGCCCAGGTGGCCAAGTGTGGGGAAAATTCTAGTGCTAACACCAAAATTCCAGTCAGATGTTCAGTGCTCTCTGTGAAATGTGGGTGGAGAAAATTTAGGGAAATATCCTTATTTCACTGATATTGGAAGTTGTTACTCCCTGGTCCTGTGATTTCATCAGGAAGCTTGCAGGTGAGGAAGTGCAAGTGTGCCACGCACCCACCCACTCACACACACACATACACCCACACTCCCTTTATCGATGCAGATCCATAAGTATTGGCAATTCGTGGTTTTAGGCAATTGCCTCAGGGAAGTGGGAGCTTAAGTGACCTATTTAGAGCCAACTGTGTTATCAGTGGTGACATTTGAACTCATGTTTTCATGACTCCTGAGGCCAGCTAAATTTTTCTTTAATTAAGAAGAATGCTTGGATTTTTCTACTTTTTTTATGTGATCAGGAGCCTCCTTTTATATACAATTGGGGTCCCACAATTGTGGAAAAATCAAATTTAGGTTAGGCAACTATGTGCAGGGGGAGCTACTATGAAAATCAAGACCGGTGTGGGGATCAAGATACCTGAGCTAGGTTGATGATCTTGCCATCTCCTTTCCTTATATATTCTGGACAACCAGTAGTATCTGATGCTCCTGGAGTCCCTCTAAGAAATTCTCAAGAGATAACCCTTCAGCATGCCTCTTTGTATATGTGTCATGGACACCTTTAGCAATCTAGGGAAGCCTACGGATTCCTTCTCAAAATACTTTCTTTAAAATTCATGAATAAAGGAAATGAAAATGTATTTTTTTCTCACCCAAGTTGATGAACACCCTGAAATCTATCCTTGGATCACTTGGGGGTAGAGGTCTGTGTACCCCAGGTTAAGAATCCTTACTCTAGATGCTAGAGGGAAAAGCAGAGGTATTGGAGATAGTTGAGCCGTTAGAGGAGGGAGGGGAGTCTTTCTGGAGTGTTCACAACCATGATTGTACTGCTGTTGCTAGAAGCAATTTTCAGTCCTCTCTGCCACCCCCCCCCCCAAGTAGCCACTATGGCTATTCAGGCCTTAATAAGACACCTAACATTTTAATCACTGTGTAAAAGAACATGTAGTCCCAGGGGAAATGATTATCCAACAGCATGCTTTTTGTCTTCTAGCATGGAATGGGGCTCCCTGCAGCTCAGGATTAGAATACAGTCTTATAATTCCTAGCACAGAGCTCCTGAACTGGATATGATATGATATGGACCAGATATGATAAGAGAAAAATATGAAAATGACCTCCTTTCCATTCCCAGAGGGTCTTACCAATAGTAGAGTAAGAAGCAGAAGTTGGGCAGGGAAACCGTGAGCTGCAGCCATCTCCAAGAAGGCAGAGCATAAGCAATCCCTGCCAGAATCAGAAGGCCCACGGTGAAAGCCATTTGGTAACAAATTCCCACAGTCCTCCGGTACTTCATGCCGACAAATTCAGTCACTAGAAAACAAAAGCAAATGGCTGGTTTCCAGGGTGATCTGAGACAAAGGGTCACTGATACATTTTAATAATGAAACAAGTAGAACTCCCCAAATACCCCCTACATTTTTCCCTCTCTAAGAGCTTTATGAGATCACTTGAGACTCTTGAATCTTGGATGTTCTTTGGAGTTTAGGTTCTTCCTAAAATGACAGGAATGATGGAGCTGGGCCTTTAGAGCTCTGGCCGATGGGAATGGAAAACCTACTACTTACATACTTGTCCATCCCCATAAAGCCAGAATGCCCCTGGCCAGTTTCATCACCCTTGTTCCATTAAATACTGTGACATTTCACTAATTCCCATGAACTGCTTCCAAGAAGACAAGTCAGAATTAGTGAAAAGTTTGAAATATTGAAAAGAAATTTTGTAAAGAAATTTAGTTTTCTTACTTTTAAATACATGTGATATCTTAAAGTAGGCTAAAAATACAAGGTTGTGCCTAAATACGTAAGGAAGTTTAGAATGACATTAAAAGATAGTGTCGTCTAGTAGATAGAGCTGGCGTTGGAGTCCAAAACATTTGGGTTCACTGTGCCTAATACTTAACTGATTGTGGAACCCCGTGGAAGGCATATAGGGCCCAATGGCCCTAGACCTGTGGTGTCAAACCCAAATAGAAATTAGGGGCCACTCAGCTGCCACTGTTGACTTAGAAAACCACATATTAACATTAGCTATGTCCTATTGTATTTTTATTTATTTTGTTAAATATTTCCCAATTACATTGGGTTCCCAAGGCTCTGTTGGCACTTATATTTGACACCTGTGCCCTAGGTAACTCCTTAAGCCCATAAATTGTAAAGCAAATGCTCTTCTGCATTGGAAGAGGAAGTTTTCTCACTGGGAGTTCCTTATATCCAGATTAAAATCCACAGGTCTGGTAAAAAAAAATAGCATATACATAATTTGTATCTAAACAAATACTCAAAAGCAGTGCTTTTAAATTACTGGAGCATTTCTTTTACCATGATTATATTTGGCAAATCTCCCTCACCCCCTTCCTTTTTTTTTTTCTTCAAAAATACCAGAGGTAAATCAATGTCTAAGTGAATAGGAATTTTAAATCCATGGGGTTCAGATTTATGTTTCTGTAGGGATAGAGGTGAGAAGAAAACTTCCTAGATGAGGAAATTCCTACCAGATGATATCAGAATTTCTCTATAGGCTTACCCAGGGGTGGAGAATCTGTTGCCTGGAGGCCACATGTGGCTCTCTGGGTTCTCAAGTGAGTCCCCAATCAGATTCAGTCAAAAGGCCACACCCCTGGCTTAGACAGCCATTTAGCTTTGGCAGAGTGTGACTCGCCCAAAGTCATATAGCCAGAATGTGATAGAAGTAGGGTTTGAACCCAGTACTTCTTGGATTGGAGGCTGCCTATCTATCCACTATCCTATACTACACATGAAACTAGGCGTAGTGGCTTTAAAACTAAAAACAAACAAATAAATATTCCAGAAAGATATTCAATAAGCCACAGAAACTTTTTTAAAAATCTGATTTTAATTTGGAGATTTGTCACTCTAACATATTTCAAGTTACAACCATCTGCAAACCAAATTAACTTCCACTATTAAAGTTTTTGTAAATTACTTCTAATTATCTCCAAAATGAAGTTTTCATTTTTTTGTGACTAATATACCATCTCCATAAGCCTCTACTGTGTTAGGGAATCCTAAGCAGTCAGTCAATAAACATTTATTAAGCACATACTATGTGCCAGGCACTGTAATAAATTCTGGGAATATAAAAAGAGGCAAAAGACAGACCCTGCCCTTAAGGAGCTCACAGTCTAATTCGGGAGACAAAGAGCAAACAAATATATACAAAGCAAACTATATATATAGGCTAAGTAGGAGATAATTGGGAGGAAAGGCACTGGAATTAAAAGGGGTTAGGAACGTCTTGCCAGGGAGGTCGATAGGCAGAGTTGATGAGAGAGAAGTTTACTGGAACAAGAGATTCCATATTTTGTTCATGGAACAGTCAGAAGGCTGGGTGTCACTAAATTGAAGAGTAGGAGAGGGAAGTAAGTTATAAGAAGACAGGAAAGTAGGAGAGGGCTAGGTTATGAATGCCAAATGGTACATGGAGGCAAATAAGGAACCACTGGAGTTTATTGAGGGTGACATAGTTGGACATGAGCTCTAGGAAAATAATTTTGGTGGCTGAATGTAGGATGGATTGAAGTAGGCACAGACTTGAGGTAGGCAGACCCAGCAGCAGTCCATCGCAATAATCCAGGCTTGAGGCAATGAGGAGCTGCACTAGAGTGGTGGCAGTGCTGGAGGAGAGAAGGGAGACATAACTGGGCAAAGCAATAATTGACAGGCCCGGGCAACAGGTTGGTTATGGGGGAGAGGGGGGTTGAGAGATAATGAGGAATCAGCAGGACATATAGGTTGCAAGCCTGAAGGATTGAGAGGATGAGATTGCCCTCAATTGTAATGGGGAGGGGCAAAGTTGAAGGCTTGGGAGAAAGATAATGAGTTCTGTTTTGGACATGTTGAGTTTAAGATGTCTACTGGATATTTAGACTGAGATGTCTGAAAGGCAGAGATATGAGGTTGAAGGTGAGCAGAGAGTTTGGGGCAGGTTAGGTAGATCTAAGAATCATCATAGGGTTGGTACCCAAATCTGTGGGAGCTGATGAGGTCACCAAGTGAAGTAGAATAGAGGGAGAAGAGGACCCAGGACAGAATCCTGAGGGATACCTGTGGTTAGAGCCTTCCGTCTGGAGAAGGATCCCACAAAGAGTACTAGGAAGGAGTAGTCAGATGAGTAGGAGGAGAACCAGGAGAGAGGGGTGCCCCAAAACCTAGAGAGAAGATAGGATCAAGGAGAAGAAGGCCGTTAAGTGTCAAAGGCTGCAGAGGGATGGAGAAGAATGAGGACTGAGAAAAGGCAATTGGATTTGGCAACTAAGAGATCATTGGTTACTTTGGAGAGAGTGGTTTTGGTGGAATGGTAAAGTCAGAATGCAGAGTATAATGAGTTAAGAAGAGAGTCAGAGGAGAGAAAGTGGATGCATCTATCCTAGACAGCCTTTTCAAGGAGTTTAGCCACAAAGGGTGGAAGAGATAAAGGATGATTGCAAGGGTGGAAGGATCAAGTGAGGGTTTTTTCAGGACAGGTGAGGCATGGGCATGTTTATTTATAGGCAATAAGGAACAAGCCATTAGACAGAGAGACTTTAAAAATAAATGATGGTGCGGGAATGGTGATGGTGGCAACTCTCCTGTGAGGAAGAGTTCTCTGTCTCCCAACATTCAAGGTAAGGGTGTTTCCACAAAGTGATAGATTGAAGGCAGAGGGGGGGTTTATTCTTTTGAAACTTTACTTGGGACCTTTAAATTTATACTACAGGCTCCTCAATATTAAGGATAAAATACAAAACCAAACTACCTTCCCTTCGCCTTGCAAGGTCGCCTCAGCACAATTTTCATCATTAGTATGACCAGGTATGTATGTGTATGTGTGCACAATACAATATACATATACACACACATATATATGCATGTATACTATATATACTATACACATACATATATACACCATATACGTGCTATACACATGTACACATACATATATACACATATACATATGCACAAATACAATATATACTGTGTGTGTGTGTATACACACACACACACACACACACACACACACACACACATGTACACTATGCTATTGTAGAAGGATTAACCAACTTCATCTTTCCGGGTTGTAATACATTGATAAGATTATGTCATATCCAAAAGTTTGTACCATGCAGAAACTACTTTAATGTAGCTAAGGGGGATGAAATGTTGAGGGCAATTCACAAGAATTAATGTTAAAATAAATTTACTTAGTTTCTAACTTAATACTGGCAGTAAATTCTCATAAACTGTCTGGCTTTCTCTCTGAGAACACATAATTCTTAGATTGGGACAGTGGGTTTTTGTTGTTGTTGTTGATATTCCTGGAAGAATCAAAACGTTGCTGCTTTTGGGCTTCACATATTTAAGCTTTTCTTGCTCTGACTGGAGAGTGAACATGATTCAAGTTTTTAGGGCACAGTATAATAGCTGATAATAGAAGGGCCTGGCATAATATAGTCTGTAGGGTCACGAGGAGTTGGACATAACTAAATGACTGAATGACAAACAAAATATTTCTTCTGCTAGTGCTATAAGTAGCTGGTTATGTAATCTTGAATTCTGTTGTTCTCAGTTTGTCTGTAATTTGAGGGATAATTGAGTGTATCAGAAAATATTTTATATGGAGAAATAAGTATAGGGATAGGGACTACACCTGTGATTTCATTGGTATAAAGAGAAACTCATCTACCCATGTAGGTTGGCACCTTCTCAACAACTTACAGTCTTAAGAGAGTTAAATGACTTGTTCAGGTGGTCACAAAGTCAATATTTGTCAGAGGTGGGACTTGAACCTACCTCCCAGTGTCCAAGGCAACTTCTCCACTTCACCCATTGCCAAATAAATATAGAGATTTACAAATATAGCCTTCTAGTTCAGAGTTGAATAACAGCCAGGGGTTCCTGTTTTCCTACTATTTTCTCTTTGAATGGGCACAGTAGGCTAAATTCTTCACAAATGTAACACTCTGGGAAACCAAATACAAAAATTCCAAAGGGCTTTAATAATAAAACGGATGTTTATCAAGACAAGCTTAAGGAGTGATGATCTTTTCTCTCATTTACCTCCTCAACATGTATGGAATTTTTCTTTATAGAAAGAATACAGAAATTGGTCAAGAGGGCTTGGAGGAAATAATTTTTCTTCCAGGTGGGAAAAAAACCAATTATTTAGAAATTAGAGATTTTTTTTTCTTTGTGATCAGTCAAGATATAACCATTCTTCATTTTAGGTTCTTCCAACACTCCCTCCCACCCTTCCAGCTTTATTTTTGAAGGCCATGTTTTTCCTACTCCCACAGCTGTAATCACATGCATTCTTACGCAGGATGTAGCCTATTAACCACTCAGACTTGCTGACCAGTCCTTGGATAAATCGGAAGATTAATATCCAGGTGTAGCTTGGAGAAAGGGCCATGAGTACTCCCGAAACAGCAGTTATGAGAATTGTAATTAAAAGGCTCAGCTTACGACCAAACCTGGCAAGAAACAGACACATTGAGAAGGCAGAATTAGGCTATGAAAAATATTGAAGACTCTTAAGAAATGATGCTGATTAATTACGATTTAAAGAAGCAGGGGACTTCCTGAATGAATATCGTCTATTCAAGAGTTTTTCCCCAAATGCTGAGAAAAACATTAATTTAAAAAGGCCAAAGTCACCCACTATATCCTGGACCATTTGCCAGCCATCTTGACCTTTGTCTTGCCCCTGGATTTTGATGACTTTGGAGGAGAGAGTGAGGCTGATGAATTTGTACAGCGCTGCCTCACTTAAATCCAATTCACTTGCAAGTCAAGACATCATCTATGAAGTCATTGGTACTCTTTATAAACAATAATAACAGCCACAACCTGTATTACTAACCTAATGACCCAAGTTCTCCCCGCACAGTGAGCAATGCTCCATAAAGTCTTTTTTTCCCTTTTAGAAGAGATTTTTATTTTTAAAATACATTTTTGACATCTTTTGTTTTTTCAATCACCTGCATTTATCACTTTCCCTTACTTCCCTCTTGCCCTATTCTCAGTCTCTTATGATCAGAGGTGGGCTGGTAAATATTTAACAACAGGTTGTGGGGGGGTACAATTGTATATAGACCACATTTTAAAAGTTTAATCTACAGTATTAACATTTTTTCCATCACTTTCTTCAGTCTAGACAATCAACAAAACAATAAACCAAGTCTGGAATTGTAGTGTTACCAACTTCCAAGTTGTAAATTCATACACTTAAAATTTAACAATCACCCTGGTTTGAGCAGGCTCCAGCACACTTCTGCTTATAACAAAAAGTAAAGAAGAGGGGGGAAAAAATCAGCAAAACTAACCAACATTAAAAAATATCTGCTGTTATCTGTATTGTTTCACATCCATCGATTCCCAGCTCTCCAAAAAGTAGGGGAGAGGTATATTTTTGGATTTTTTCTTTAGGGGCAAAGCTTGGTCATTACAATTTCCCAGTACTCAGTTTTGATTGTTTTATTCTTTCTGCAGAAACATTCTTTACCACATACCAAGGAATATTTGAAAATAAAATGAAGTTTCCAGAAATCTAATTCACCCAAATAGCCTTTGCCAAGACACAGAAAGACTGTTGTCTTTTTGGAAGTAAGGAAACCAATACACAAGAGCCTGTTGATGTTTTTAGCATCACTTTTCTCCTTAACTTTTTCTATTGTTATTTTCTCTCTTTCTTAAGAAATGAATGTAGTAGAAGGAGAGAAAGGCAGATTTCAGCTTCACACAGAAAGAACTTGCTAACAATTAAAAGTATTCAAAAGCAAAATGGTATCCCATGGGAGATAGTGAATTCCTCTTCCTGGAAGCCTTCAAAGCAAAGACTTGATGATTACTTTTCTGGGAAGATGCAGGGGAATTCTTGCTCAGATTTGGGGAATGACTAGTTGAAGTCTGAGGTCCCTTCTAATGCAGATTCTATGATTCTGTACCTTCTCAGATATGATGGGGGTGGAACTTGATTCTTTCAGGTTATCAAGTGAAATATTCTATTGGTGTATTCATTCTATTGGCCTGTCAGAGTTATGGCACTCAAGGTGAATTAGGGCAAGAATCGACTTAAGGGTGGGGAACCTGGGGCCTGGAGGCCACATGTGGCCCTCTAGGTCCTCAAGTGCAGCCCTTTGATTAAGTCCAAACTTCACAGAACAAATCCCCTTAATAAAAGGATTTGTTCTGTGCCATTCAATGATACCTGAGACCATTTCTCTAAACCCACTAGTAAAGAACAGACTAATAGGCAATATTTATTGAGCACTTTTCTAGTTTGCAGAGAGCTGTACATTTGTTATCTCACTGGCACCCTGGAATAACCCTATGAAGTAGGGCTGTATATAGATGCTATCATGCCCATTTTACAGATGAGGAAATTGAAGTAAAGAGAGAATAAGAGGCTTGTTTGTGATGTCAGAGAGAGAGTTTGAACCCATCTTCCTGACTCTAAATCTAAAACTCTATCCTTTAGCATTCAGGAAAAATGGAGACCTAAATACATTAGTCATCCTTGATTCTCTCCCAATGCTATTTCTTAATATGGTGTGGTATGTTTGTCCCAGGGAGAAAATGGGTTATAAATTTTATTCTATATCCTACAATTTTATATCATACAGTCAATCCCCTTAGATTGGGAACTTTGCTTTTCAGAGAGTTATCTCTTCTCTAAGTGGCTTATAAGTAGAGTTCTTAAGGTCAAGGACTACTTTTACTTATCTTTACATGTGTACACATGTATGTATTTGTACATGTGTATATAGACACTGACATGTGTGTATGCACATATGTATATACATGTATGTATCTCTAGACATATATCTATATCTATCTATAATGTGTATATCTATCTATCTATCTATCTATCTATCTATCTATCTATCTATCTATCTATCTATCTCTAAATACTGAGCACAGTGCCTGGACCAGCATGGGGGCTCAAAGAATATGTGCTTATTAGAACTAAGAGGACAACCTACTGTGTAAATAAACTTAATGTCTTTTCTGACTTTCAGAGAACAATTTATTAAGCCATATTCCTTTATATTACTCTCGTGGCCATTATATAGGTCTTTCTGATTCTGCTCCTTTCAATCTGTATCAGTTCATACAAATCTTTCCATGTTTCTCTGAATCAGATAAACCTTCTCAGACATCACCAATGTGTTGCTTTGTTTTGCTAGACTATACATATTTGTTACAAAAGAAGGCTTCTATCTGCAGGCAGGAGATGCTGAGTTAGAAGGTAGTGATCGATATGCTAAAAAAACCCCCACACCAATAAAATATATTTTTTAAAGGAACAGAAGACAAAAAGAAGCTCAGAAAGGGATAGTTGAGCCAAGGGAATAAACATTTATTAAACACTTACTATGTGCTAGGCCAGGGGTGGGTAACCTGTGGCCTCAAGGCTACATGTAACCTTCTAGTTCCTGGGTAGCGGCTTTTTGACTGAGTCCAAGTTTTACAGAACAAATCCTCTTGTGAAGGGGATTTGTTCTGTGAAGTTTGGATTCAGTCAAAGGGCTGCACTTGAGGACCTAGAAGGCCACAAGTGGCCTCGAGGTCTGTGCTAGGCACTGTGCTAAGCATTGGGGTTCCAAAAAAGGGGAAAAAAACCCAGTGCTTTCAAGGAGCTCATAGTCTAATGGAGAAGGAGGGACAGTGATAATATACAAACAATTGTACACAAGATATATACAGGACAAATTGGAAATTATCTCAGAAGGAAAGTACTAAGTAAAAAGGACTGGAGAAGGTCTTCTAGCAGAAGGTAGAAGTTTGGCTGACATTTAAAGGAAGTCAGGGAAGCCAGGAGGAAGAGATGAGGGGGAAGAGAGTTCCAGGCATGGGGAGATAGCCAGTGAAAGTAAGGATGAAGTGTTATGTGTGAGGAACAGCAAAGAGGGTGTGACTGGATTACAAGAAGGTAGAAGAAAATTGGAAAGGTAAGAAGAGGCTTGGGGCAGCTAGGTGGCACAGTGGATAGAGCACCGGCCCTGGAGTCAGGAGGACCTGAGTTCAAATCTGGTCTCAGACCAGACACTTGGCACTTAATAGCTATGTGACCCTGGGCAAGTCACTTAACCCCAACTGCCTCACCAAAAAAAAAAAAAAAGAGTTCAGACAGAGCAATTTTGTTATGACCTTGAAAAATTTAATATAGTATATTTTTAAAACTTCATTTAGCAGTTCATGGTTTCATGTAAAATCCTATTTTTCTTTGTATATTTAAAATGTTTGTATTTGTTGCTGATTAAAAAAATCCCCAAACTCCAAAGCTGATCAAGACTTTGAGACAGAGTTATCTGGTTTATCCTGCTATCTCTAAAAAGAATTATATCTGAATTATTTCCATAGAATAAAGATTTGTGTTTTATTCTTGAAGATCTGTAGGTTATAAATCTTCAGCTACTTTACTGTCCAGTAGTAGTTGCAATTATTATATCTTTTCACTCAATAAGAGCTTATACTTAAATGGTGCTCTTTACTTAGATGATTTCATTTGCTAGTTAGTTTATACCATCCGCCCCTGCCCCAACTCCTTATGGGACAGTTAATACAGTAAAATTAATTTTAATTCTGTCCCAGTCATGAGAACCAGGCCTTAAATAAGTACTCTCACTGAGAGGTCTGAGGCTTCTAGGGCAAGTCATACTACAGGTCCCTAAATCCTGAATGTTCTTCCAGAAATGAAATCAAGGTAATATGAACAACAGTTATTGTTGTCATTTTTCAGTTGTGTCTGACTCCCTGTAACTCCATTTGGGGTTTTCTTGACAAAGATACTGGAGTGGTTTGCTATTTCCTTCTCCAGTTTATTTCACAGATGAGGAAACTGAGGCAAGCAGTGTTAAGGAACTCAGAAAGATATGAACAACAAGGGAAGGTTTAAAAGAAAAACAAGCAAACAAACCAAAAAACAGATCTACAAAACAGCTTCAGGCTGTCAGGGTGTGTGTGTGTGTGTATAAAGGGAGACTGGCTCTGCCTTCATAGTGGTGGAGAAAGGTGGGGACTCTTTCTATGATTGTAAAAAGGTGGTGTGGTGGAGTAGGTAGAGAGCTGGGCTCAGAGTCAGGAAGAACTAGTTTTCAGTCTGGCCTCTGACATGTACTGGCTCAATGCCTCCAGTCAAAGCTCTAAGAATAAATTTTGCAGAGCCCTCACTAGCTGTTTTGGTGAAGGGAGTTTCCTCACTGGGAGTTCCATACATGGATGAACTTATAGTTCTGGTCTTGGAAAAAAAAAAGCCCAAGTTCATGTTGTTTTGGTTTTAGTTATCGGATGGCAAAGCTTTCTCCTCCTGTACTCTCCCTGAGTCACTGCCTGGCATCAGTGGGCATAAAGGCCTTCCAAGGCATGGAACAAAGGGATAGAGCAGTTTCCCCATGTCATTGTGACCTTGAATGATTCTACCTGAGATGGAACTCTTCAGCCTTCATAAACTCTCCATTCCGGTCTTGCTATAGTCCTGTGTTTGCTCAAGAAGTAACTAAATTATATAATAAGGGCCATATTGACATTAGGAATCTCAAGCCATCTCCATGCAATAGATATGACACGATCTACTTTTTCATAACTACTTCCAGACACAGATTACAATTCCATAACAATCTTTTGGAGTTTCTGAAGCCAAAAACTTCTCTTATATGTGCCAGGTAATATCAGAACCCAGAGTCCTAATTTAATCCCTACTCAGCCTAGGGTCAAAGATTTAGGGAATGGAATTACAGAGTCGAACAGGAAAACAGACTGGAATTAAGGGCATCTCCATTTTAAAAAAAGGGCCCTGGGTTGGGCTAATTACTGCTGTTTATTAACTTCATGTGTCTAGGATTGTTCCCTTGCAAATGGAAACTTTTTGAGAAGACCACCCACTATGCAAATGAAAATTATACAGAGGACTTTTAATTTAGTCATTTTCATCATGTCCAACTCTTTATGACCCCTTTTTGTGTTTTCTTGACAAAGATACTGGAGTGGTTTGCTACTTCCTTCTCCAGCTCATTTTACAGATGAGGAAACTGAGGCAAACAGGGTTAAATTGACTTGCCCAGGGTCACATAACTAGTAAGTGTCTGAGTCTAGATCTGAACCCAGGTCTTCCTGACTCCAAGCCAGTACCCTATCCACTATACCACCTAGCTGCCCCTTTTCATTTAAATGGACAGTTTCTATTCCTACTATTGGGCAGTTTCTGTTCCTACCATTTGCTATTAGGCCTTTCATTCTATCAGCCCCATAATCAACAAGACATATTAACCACCTACTATGTGCCAAATCCTAACATTCCTGCCTTTGAGAAGCTTGAGAAACACACCTGTTGATGACTTCATTCACAGGGGGGTCAGATCAGTTGAATCCAACTGGATCTTTGGTCTTCTAATCTCACCCTGATAACACAGTCTGAGTCATTACTAACAGGATAAGTTGAAGCAAGAAATCTATGATTCAGGAATACAACTCACCTTTTCTTTCTTTCTTTCTTTCTTTCTTTCTTTCTTTCTTTCTTTCTTTCTTTCTTTCTTTCTTTCTTTCTTTCTTTCTTTCTTTCTTTCTTTCTTTCTTTCTTTCTTTCTTTCTTCCTTCCTTCCTTCCTTCCTTCCTTCCTTCCTTCCTTCCTTCCTTCCTTCCTTCCTTCCTTCCTTCTTTCTTTCTTTCTTTCTTTCTTTCTTTCTTTCTTTCTTTCTTTCTTTCTTTCTTTCTTTCTTTTTTTGTATTAGGTAGGTTCAGAAAATGGTTGTGGTCTAGATCAAATCACTTAACATTCCTGGGCCTCACTTTTCTCACCTGTAAAATGGGAGGATTGTATCATATAATGGACTGCATAACCTCTGAGGTGTCTTTCAGCTCTAGGAGGCTCTATAATCCTTTTTTTTTAAGAGAAATCCTCATCTTTTAGAGAAACATATGAAAGACTAGCAAGCTTCTCTGCAAAAGAGTTTACATGGAATATTGTCATATGAAAATCAGATTCGTTCAGATTGGCCTTACCGTATGACTTGGTTAAGTTAGAAAATAACATAGTTGTGGCATAAAGAATATGAAAAACCATACCTGAAAAACCAAAAAAGAATATGAAAAATCTTGATGTTTTAGATCAGCTTTCACCAAAACAGGAAAAGGGGATGGAGTGGGGATAGAAATGACCTATAAGCATTTGTTAGGAAGTTTACAAGAAAAAAAAATATCATTTCCGAAACTGTAAGGGGAAGGATTCAGTTTAGTTGAATTCAACAAATGCTTATGAAGGGCCTACTTTATGTGTAAAACACTGTGCTAAAGATGGGGTGGGAGAGATTTTAAAGATAATGGGTAGAACACTGGGCTCAAAGGTGGAAAGGCCTGGATTCAAGTCCTACCTTAGACACATACCGGCTGAGTGACCTTGGGCCAGTTACTTAATCTGTCAGTTGTCTAGGAGACCAGAAGTTACAGAAAAGGTGCTAACCACATTGGTAATGGGAATTTCCTTATCAGGGACATCCCTACCCCAATGAAATCACAGGTCTAGTCTTTATTCCTATTCTAATAAATCATTGTTTAAGGCAAAAGTTTTTTAACTTTTTGTGCATCATGGATCCCTTTGACCGTCTGGTGAGGCCTAATACTACTGTGGTTTGTTGCTTATATTTATAATGGAAGGAAATGCTAAATTTCAGTTAGAGGTTGGTGAAAATAAAGAGGCAATTTTTTCCCCCATACGAACTCTTGGATCCCCTGATCCCACGATAAAAACTGGTTTAAAAAGATGATGAGTCAAACAGTGTAATGAGTAATAGATCACCAGAGGGAAAGAGGGAGGGAGGGAGAGAGAGGGGCAAAGGGAGAGAGAAAATTAATTCAAGCAAAACTGCCTACTGAAGTTATGTATGTAAATAGATAATTTGCTTGGGCTTGTGATTCAGGAACATACAAATTGTCCTATAGTATTCATGGGTTATGAGAACTGTTAACTCATTTATGTCTGATGGCCTCTAAGTAGTCTATTAACTAAGGTGAGGGGCAAACAGGAAGATGATTTAACACGCACTTCCCTTTTGCTGATACAGAAGCAGCGGGGAGGTAGTTGTGAGGCTGGCCTTGTCTACTAGTGAGAAAAAATTAATTAGTGAATAGGCCCTTGGAAGTCCAGACTCTCATTGTTGGACTCTGGATCTTGAACTGTTAATGGGTCCCTAATGATGCAGGAGATAGTGACCTTGTAATGACCTTTCAAATCTTGTCTTCTATCATCCCCTAAGATTAAAAGTCATACATGATTCGCTATCTTCTTTGAACATCCACGTGAACAGAGCCAGACTGGGCACATGGGCTATGGCCATTACGACATGATATGAATGCTCTTTGCTAAAATTATCTCCCTCTTTCCCCTACCTCGTTGGTTCCTTTTCAGTCCTCTGTTAAATTGTAAATATCTCTGAGGGAAGTAACACATTAAGCGCTGTCACCTGTGAATACTTCAGCAACAATTGTGCTTTAAGATTACCTTTTACAACAGGAAATGGGAAACCAGGCAAATACTCTGATGCTTCTGGCAAGGACAGAGTCAGGTGAGGCCAGCACATGGGGTCAGAGGGCAACATGAGGGCAGCTTGAAATGTAGGGCTTTTAGAAATGCAAGCGCACTTATGAACTAAGAATCTTAATCAAAACAGGCACCCTTTGGAAATATGATTATACGAAAATTTTGTGGATATATGAAACAAAATTCTGTGTGCTATTCCCCTTGGAATATGCAGAAGAAGGAGAAGAAGAAGAAGGAAAGAAAGAAAGAAAAAGAAAGAAAGAGAAAGAAAGAAAGAAAGAAAGAAAGAAAGAAAGAAAGAAAGAAAGAAAGAAAGAAAGAAAGAAAGAAAGAAAGAAAGAAAGAAAAATGGCTGACCCAGAGAGCAAGCATACCTCGTTGCTGCCAGGGTACTTCCATCACCATTATCCTATAGTTCCAAGATGATACATAATTGAAGAGGGAAATAATGCTCTTTTCCGTTTATAGCCTGCTCTCTTAGATCCAAAAAGTCATTAGAGCTTGTGGGACCCTGACTAATAGTACCATTCATTTTGCTTCTATTCTGAGGGAGGATCTTTTTATACCTTCCAGGCTGATGTTGAAATTATGGTGATCAGATTCTTAGTTTTCCTTGAGAAGGCAGAGAATGTTTTCCTCCCACTCTTTGTCCTAGATTCTATCACATATCCAATCTGTATCTGGCCCACAGGGTCATCTTGGACGCCCAGGGAGTCTATCAGAGGCTATGGGTGGGTCCAAGGTAGCTGTGTGAGAAGTTGAGTAGAGAGAGGGGAAGAACCATGGAGGCTAGTGGGCTGATGAAAAGGAATAAAGCCACTGGAGGAAGAGCTCCCTAATGCTTAAAACAGAACTCTCTTTTCCCTCTACTCTTTTAGGAGAGACATCTGTTATTATTCTCAAGGCAACTAAGGGAAGATAATAATATGATAACTTTGCTTATATTAACTTACATTGAACTAGCACCTAAAAATTTATAAAATATTTAGCTCACAACAACCTGGTAGGAAAGGTAGTACAAATGTTATCAACTCCACTTTATAGTTGCAAAAGCTTAGCTCTGAGACTTTAATTGACCTCCCCAGTGTTGAACATCCTCAAAGAATCAGAAATGGGACTTGATCTAGGTCTTCTGATGCAATGATCAATGTTCTTTCCACTATACTTTGCTATAAAAGGAATGTGTTAAACTTGGTAAAATGTGAAGTGTTTTTACTTGGCCGTGATTTTGTAGTTAGACTACTAGGTACTCAAAGAAAACATGAAATTCAAGGAGTAGACATAAAGATAAAAATAAAAATGCTTGGTATAGTGGGTGTCTTTTCTTTTTTTTTTTTAACTTGTCTTTATTTCTTCCTTCCTAACCCAATGGGGCCCTTGTGAATCCAAGAGAACCATGAAAAAGCCTAAAAGAATCTTTAATGAATAGAGAATCACCCTTATCCAGCATGGGTTGAGTTCAACTCTTAACTTCGATTCAGACACTGGCTGTGTGACCCTGGGCAAATCACTCAACCCCAGTGCTACAGATCACTCACTTGTGTATTTTTAGACTTATAATAGAAGATGGTGAGTTCCCAAAGAATTCCTTATACCAGTGAAATCATAGATACAGTTTCTCCAAAAGAACAGGAACATCAATTCTTCTTAAGAGATTCTATTTCAGAATACACATTTAAATCCTATGGCATTGAAGACATACCTGTCTGCTATGTAACCGATGCTCACAGAGCCAATAAAAAATCCGATATTCAAAACTGATTGAAACAGGTCCAGTTTCCAAGAATTGGTACACACCAGGTTAAACTGCAGAGATACATCTTAAGTTAGAATACAATGAAAAATAAATCTCACCACTAATATGACAGGGCCAGAGCATTTCATATAGTGCTGAGCTTATAGCAAGTGTATACTCAATATTTGCGAAATTGAATTGGTATGGCTCACAGGCAATAAACTAGAGGCCTTCTTTCTTCATGCTTTTCTTAAGACAGCTGGAAATTTGCAATTGAAACCTGCCGTAACAACTGTTTTTTGGTTAGGCTTATTTGCCTGGTTATTTCTATGTAACAGTCCCATTCTATCTTCAGGGATCAGAGCGTCAGAGGTGGAAACGACCTTAGAATCCATCTAATCCAACCTACATCCTTTTCAAGATAAGGAAATTAAGCCCCACAGAGGATGTGACTTGCCCAGCAAGTCTATACAATATGAACACGATAGCCAGCAGTTTAAAGCATAATAGCATGGTAGGATCTTTGAATTGAAAGGACCTTGTGAGGTCAGCTAGTTCAAATCTGTATCTGAGAGAAGATTTAGGGAGATTTGAAAGTTAACTTCAAATATTGTAAGGGTTGTTGTGCAAAAATGGGATTTGACATGTTCTGTTGGGTCCTATTGGGTAGAACTAGAACCAATTGGTAGAAGTTGCAAAGATATCAAGAAAAATATTTTCTAACAATTAAAGCTGTTCCAAAGTGCCTGGATTCCAGAAACAAATATGTGTGGGTGCATCAGGATGAGTTGGTAGCCATTAACCCTGGAGTTAGGAGGACCTGAGTTCAAATGTGGCCTCAGAATAGCTGTGTGACCCTGGGCAAGTCACTTAACCTTGATTGCCTCTCAAAAAAAAAAAAGGATGAGCTGTTAGCTTTTATCTTAAGGAAACACATCATCAATCATTTGGTCCCGTTTCTAGCCTTTTATTTAGACTTTAACTCTGTAAGACCTACTTCCAACTGGGTACTTTGTTCCAGGGAAATGTGTGCTCGATGACTCTTGGAAATGTCCCAGACAAGCTAATTGGGCTCAGTGTGTTTGTTGTAGTATCATTCATAGCTAGTTTGTCACTACTTAATACAAGCACACCAATTATTCCTCTGTATAACACAGGTGAGTAATCTGAGCACCTTCACGTATCCCAGATGCATTTATTGTATTTCAGTGAATTGAATGCCCAAGAATTGAATATATTTATGTCCAACACATAGTCCATGTGTTTCATTTAGCAAGTTCTTGAGGAATTGGCTAAGACTTACCTCAGTGACAATGGAGGAGCCTGGAGTGTCGTACACCCAGCCATCCTGACAGGTGGTAAGAGAGATGTGGCTTCTATTGCTGGTAAAATTGGCAAAAGGGTCTGTGCAGCCGAGGGCTGTTTGGTTCCAGTCCACATCGTATCTCCGGCACTGGCTGATAAAAGCATCTCCTGGTAACCCCAGGCCTGGCATTGTATAATTCAGCTCCTCTTCCAAACTCCAGCCACATCGTTTGCTTAGCTCTGAAACCCCAGGGTTCAGGCAGCGGTGATCCGGGGTGAAGCCCAGGAAAACAATCCCCACATAGATGGGGGTAAAGGAGGCCGAAATCAGGGACAAAATAAGAAAGGTTTGTTTCTGGAATAAGTTAAATTCCCCAATGTGCTCTAGAACGTCATCTACAGTGGGCATTATTCCTGGAGGCAATGCTAGTCTTGCTGTTCTTCTCAGCACTGCTCGAAAATTTTGCTGACAGGCTGTTTAGAGCTCTGCAAAACTTCTGACCAAAAGTCAAAGGGTGACAGTTAATTTACTTTACAAATTGACCAGCCTTTCATCTAGACCTTTACTTTGTGAGAGTCACTTCCAACTGGGCACTTTGTTTCAGGGAGATGTGTGCTCGGTGTCTTGGGAAGCCAATCGGGCTGAATGTGTTTGTTGTAATATCATTGGTAGCTTGTTTATCGCTACTTAATACAAGCACACCAGACAATTATTCCTCTGTATAACACAGGTGAGTAATCTGAGCACCTTCATAGATCCCAGATCCATTCATTCTATCTCAGTGAAACTGAATGCCCAGGAATCAAATATATTTAAATCCAATATACAGTTCATCTGGTGTTCTGTACGAGAAGGTAAACTATATTTCTTTTGGCCTTATTACAGAGCCAAATGTTAATATGTGGTCTGGGGACAAAGCTGGGATGCCATTCCAAGTCAGTTTATTAAGATCTCTCTGTGTTTCTTGTGCCCCTCTGGGTGCCCCTCATATGCAACCATGATGCTATTCATGTTGGGTTGGCAAATGGACATCTCCAATTTTGATTTCGCTAATGAAAAATGGGTGTTTGGGGCCTCAACCTGGCATTCTTGTCTCATCCCCATACAATACACTTACCTTTGACCTAAGTATTTTTATAAAGACTTTATTGTCAGTGTGTTGGCTTAATATATTCATTCTAACTCTCTACATGCCCTGTACATTTTTGTCCATGTTAGCAGTGAATGTTTAAGTGCTCTGGCAAATGTATTCAAATTCAAGGGAAGTATGTCAGTCTTAGAAAAGGAAACAAACCATCTGTCTGTCTATGAGTGTCAACAACAGAATCCTAAAAGTTATTTTCAAGCTGCCAAAGAGAGCAGGTTGCCTATTGTTTCATCTGCATGATAAGTGCCAGAAATTTAATCTAGTTGTCTTGTGCGTTTGTTTTTCCTACAAGAGCATTCCTCCCAACTGCCCCAATTCCAGTTTCTCTTCTTCTAAGGTAACAGGAGGCAGTAGGATTGTCACAATTAATAATGCATTTGCTGGGTCCTACAGCCAATATACATTTATTAAGAGTTTAGGCACTGTGCTAAGAGCCCAAGAGCTGGGATACAAATACAAGCATAAAGTCTGCCCTCAAGGAGCTTACATTCTAATGTGGGAAGACAGCACATAAAAGGGAGCTAAAAAAGGAAGAAGATACCTGTGGTGCAGGGCATGGTGGTGAAGTTTGGAGTAGCACAGGTGGGAGAGGAATAAAGCCTGGGCCTATCCCCAAAATGGAAGCACCGGAAATAGCTTCCAATATGAGAAGGAAGCTGACTTGGTAGAGGGATGTTCCAGTGTGAGAAGGCCCTAGGAAGTAAGGGAAGATCCAGAGTGGGAAGGCATCTGAGTCATGATGGCAAAGACTTGAGAGTCACAAGCACAGATCCTGTAGATGGGATCATTCTGCTGGATGGCTTTTGGCCAGCAAATATGATCTTTGTCACCACCAGCCCTGTTTGGTATACAGCACGTGAGAAGATATGGTCTGATGTATCTCTGGTCCAAGAAGTTTTGGGTGTTTTATACTACTAATTGAGGACTTAATCTCAAAGCTTTCCTGGGACTTAAGTTGAATATGGTCTGATATGTAGATGTTATATTCATCAACGGGGTGGTATAACCAGACCAAAAATGATATATAGTCTCTAAGGCAATGAAATGCCAGGGTTTGAATCACCTATATTGTGTTGCCATGTGGGATTCATCAACCCCATTTGGCACAAAACACGGTGACTTGCTTGCTCCGGTGACCTAATTACTTATCCAAATCTCCCCAGATGTGTTTTGCTTTGCATCAGATAAACAGTGTCAGTTCTTGAGTTTACATAGATCCCTAGGTGCAGAGGTCTGTTTCACATTTAAAAATCAGCATTTTAATCCACACAATAGAATCAAATGCAAAACAAAAACCGTAAAACAGCAAAGGGAAGCAAACTGATTCTTTCAACTATAGGCCAGTACATTTTACTTTGACTCAGGGCAAAGGTCCAAAACATTGTTAAAGAAAAGCTTTGTGAGCATTTAGAAAGGGAAACTCATTATTGTCCTTCTCCTTAATGAAATTATTGATTGTTTTTGTGATTTGTTCTTTAACTCACTCATTCTTTAAGATCAGGTTGTTTAATCTCCAATTAGTTTTTAATCTATGTTTCTGTGGTATCTTATTAAATATAATTTTTATTGCATTGTGATCTGAAAAGGATGTTTTTGATATTTCTGCTTTTAACTATAAAATTTTTATGTCCTAATATATGGTCAATCTTTGTAAAGATACCATAATCCACTGGGAAAGAGGTATATTTCTTTTCATGCATGTATTTGTTTTTCTTGACTATGCATATTTGTTACAAAGAATTTGTTTTCATTTTCTCTTTTTACAATGGAAGGGAGGAGAAATAGATTTCTGTTCATTTTAAAAAATATTTGAAATAGAAACATGGGGCAGGTGGTGCTACAGATGCAGAATGCTGCATACACTTTCAGATGAGGTCACTGTTTATTTACTGTTTACATGCCTGCTTTACTTTATTACAAGTGTCCTCTCACAAAGTGGGAGTAAATCTATAAATATTTGTAATGTAAAAACAAAGCAGATCAATAAAATTTTAAAAAAAAAGAAAGAAAAAGGTAAATTACTTTTCTAGTCTACTATGTTATGGACATGCTTGTTTTATTTCTTAAGTTCAGAATAAAATGAAGAAAATAAAGGAAAAAAAAGAAAGGGAAACTGTGATAACTGAGAGCCAGTATGACTTTGTCAAAAACAGCTTACACCAAGTTAACCTCGTTTCCTTTTTTAGGAGGGTTTCTTTTTCTTTCTTTTTTCCATTTTTAATAATATCTCATTTTTTCTAATTACATATAAAGACAATTTTCAACGTTCATTTTTTTTTAAAAAGCTTTTGAGTTCCAAATTTTTCTCCTTCCTTCCTTCTTCACTTCCCTCCCCAAGAAAGCAAGCAATTTCATATAGGTTATACACATAGAATAATGTAAAACATATTTCCACATTAGGCATGATGTAAAAGAAGAAATAGAGCAAAAGGAAAAAACCACAAAAACAAACAAAAAAAGTGAAAGTTGTATGCTTCAATCTGCATTCAGACTCCATAAGTATTTCTCTGGATGTGGTTAGCCTTTTCCATCACGAGTCTTTTGGAACTGTCCTGGATCATTGTATTGCTGAGAAGAGCTAAGTCAATCATAACTGATCATGCACAGTTATTACTGTTATTGTGTACAATGTTCTCTTGGTTCTGTTCACTTCACTCAGTATCAGTTCATGTAAGTCTTTGCAGGTTTTTCTGAAAGTATCTTGCTCGTCATTTCTTATAGCACAATAGTATTCTGTCACAATTATACACCACAACTTGTTCAGCCATTCCACAATTGATGGGGATCCCCTTAATTTCTAGTTCTTTGTCACCACAAAAAGAACTGTTTTGGAGGGCTTCTTAACAGATAGATCAGCAGAACACCAATATTATATGCCTAGATTTTAGCAAGGTGTTGAAAAAGTCTCTTGTACTATCTTTGTAACTGGAGAGATATTGGCTAGAATCAGGGGTGGGGAAACTGTGTGTGGCCTTGAAGCTGCATGAGGTCCTCTGGTTCCTCAAGTGTGGCCCTTTGACTGAATCCAAACTTCACAGAACAAATCACCTTACTTACAGTATTTGTTCTGTAAAACTTGGACTTATCAAAAGGCTACACCCAAGGTCCTAAAAGGCCACGTGTGGCCTCAAGGCCACAGGGTTTCCACCTCTGAACAAGCAGTTGTATTTTGAATTACTTCAATGACCAAACCCAAAGAGTAATGATTAATGGATCTATATCTCTCTGAAAGGATGTTTCTAGTGGAGTACTTTTGGGATCTGTGTATACAACACAGAGTCTATCTGTTCTCTCTGATATTTAGGTAAATTCTATTTCTTTGGCATTTCTTTAGTGTTTTATTAGATGACTTATATGAAGGCATACATGACACGCTTATTCAGTTTGTGGATGGCACAAAGCTGGGAGGGATAGCAAAAACAATGGATCGTAGAGTCATGATTTTTAGCCCTTGATTGGCCAGAATTAAGGTAAAATTTAATAGGTATGAATGCAAAATCCTACAATTAGATTTAAAAATGTACTGCACAAGTCTGGGATGAAGGTGGCATGGCTAGACAGCAATTCAAGGGAAAAGATTTGGGAGATTTAGCGCAATAGAAGCTACATATCAGAGGACAACGTGGCAAGGCATCCCAAAGGGCCAATATTTTCACAGAAGATCAGTTATGTCTTTGTTCGTAGAGTCATGGTATGCAGAACTAGAGAGGTGACCATTTCCACTGTACTCTCCCCACTTTCAAACGCTGGAATATTATCTTTAGTTCTGGAGAGCACCTTTCAGCCAGACTGCTGAGCAAATGCTAACACATGGTCTTTGGACAAAGTTGTCATTCAATTTCAAAGCAGTTTGGAGGGAGTTTTATCTCTGTGCTTCTTACTGTTTGCACTGAGTGCACCCTCCATACTAGAACAATGATACTCATTCAGTGTGCTGGTGAGTTGGAACCTCTTATCTTGATTTCCCAAGTTTACAATTGTGCTAAAGAAATGTATACGCATGGGGCTCCATTTTGTCACTCTTCCTTCAGACTTATAGAATGCACTTTCCTATTTGTTTTATAAAGTCTTTAATGTTTTATTGAGGAACTGGTGTAGGTTTGGAGGAAAGTAACTTTATTGGTGAGAAGATTAGAAATAGTGTCATATGAGAATTAGTTAAAGGAACTGGGGGTGATTAGCCTGGAGAAGAGAAGATTGGGGGTGGGGGAAAGAGGACATAGAACATATTCTTTTTTTTTTTTTTTGGTTAGGCAAGAGTTAAGTGAGTTGCCCAGCTAGTAAGTGTTATGTATCTGAGGCCAGATTTGAACTCAGGTCCTCCTGAATCCAGGGCCAGTGCTC